GTCGTTTATCATTATTACACCAGAACAACTGTTGTTCGTGTTGATGTGTTAACGTAAACTGCTACTGGGTTGCCCAACTGCATTATAGGACTACTTTGTCCTCATCGAAAAAAAACAACCTATGAGTCTGTCTTTTAGCGACTGGCCGAGGTACATACGGCGTCTCAGAACACTGAACTAGGTGGACAATCGCGCAAACAACAAGTGTTCAAACTTGCGGAAGACGATGTAATCTATAAAAACTTGTGCAGAAGAACAAATTTCACTGTAAACGAATGTCTAACACGGACCTCATTATCGAGTTTCTCAATAGTGGGGTTTTCACCAACTGGCTGCGACGTGTTCGCGCATATCACGTCGCAACCGTTTGCGCGACATGTCGACGTCAACTGACGGCGACACATTGACGTTGGCGAGAGAACGTGCTTCGCCAGCTACATTGCACGCACGGATCTGCTCGGGCAGAGCACAGTTTCACGGGCAGGCGGAGCCTAGCCTTTGGGACGGTGGCGGTTGTCCTAATCGGCGCAAGCTTGCGCCGCTTCCGCTTGGGTCGAGTCCCAGCTCGACCCAAGCAGCTGGACCCACGTTTTTTCCCTGGCAAATCCGCTCGACCATCGCCAAGAGCAATATAACTTCCCCAGAAAACGTATTTCCGTTGCTTAAAGCGACGGTGCACTTTTGGCAGCTTAGGTTCAGAAGTTTTTTTTTTGAACCGCTGGTAACCCTGTTCTTGAGGGGCAAGGGAATCGGAAGGCCAGCAGGGCTCCCTGGCGGAGAAACCCACCCCATCGCCTTGCCAACACCAGCGGATCTCCGCAGCTAGACTGGTACAAAAAAAAAAACCTGACAAAAGCGGACTCAACTCGACTGCCCGTTTTGGTCTCAGCTAGGCCCACGAGTCTCTACTTTTCTAGGAGATAATAGGTGCTTCCGTTTTCTGCACATGGTTTTTGCCGTAGCGATCTGAGCGATACGAACGCGACTAGAGCGTAAACAGTGAGTAAAAACACTTGCCACAAAAACCAGTCGCTACACGATGAGATCGCCAGGGCTAAGCTTGGGGGATCGTTCGTGGCTCCTCACATCAGGCGTCATTGAATCCCGTCCCACTCTCCAGCCGCCAGAGTCCGCTGCCCTTCGCTAGTTTCGGCTTCCTAGCGCTTGTTTCATCAGCAATAGGCTCTATTCCGACGCTCTTCTCATGTTTTCGGGGCCCAACGTCAAGTACAAGAGCACTTCAAACATACGAGCGAAATGCACTCGTTTCCGCCACCCTAGGCTCGTTTCCGCCACCCTAGGCTCGTTTCCGCCGCCCTAGGCTCGTGTCAGACGCTTGAAGCTCGTTTCATCCGCCCATCCCTTATCTACCGCCTTCGCTCGTTTAGGGGGGAAGGAATGCCTGCAGTGGGGGGAATGATAGGCAGATTGAGGGGGGAGGAATCCCTGCAGCGGGAAGCATGGATGGACGGGCAGTGAGTGCTAAGGAAGCCACCCGCCTGACACAGTTCCCCCCACCATGCCTCACACGGCTCGTTTCATCTCGCCTCACACAGCGAGGGGTGTCCGAAAATTTGAGAATCTTTCGTTCATGCTACCCTGAAAGAATTGGACGTAGGTTATTTTCCTGGAGACTTGGTGCTATGTGGGGAAACTTGATGTTATAAGGGGGAAACGGGATGTTATCAGGGGAAAAAGGGATGCTATTGGGAGGAAACGTGATGATAGAAGGGGAAAAAGGTTGCTACGAGGGGAAACGGGATTCTATGAGGGGAAACAGGATGCTATGAGGGGAAACGGGGTACTATGAGGGGAAATGGGATGCTATGAGGGGGAAAAGGGATGCTACGAGGGGGGAAAGGGATGCTACGAGGGGGGAAATGGGATGTCATAAGGGGGGAAAGGATGCTAGGAGGGGGAAACGGGGTGTGACGAGGGGGAAACGGGGAGCTACGAGGGGGAAACGGGGAGCTACGAGGGGGAAACGGACTGCTACGAGGGGAAACAGGGGAGCTACGAGGGGAAAACGGGGAGCTACGAGGGGAAAACGGGGAGCTACGAGGGGAAAATGGGGAGCTACGAGGGGAAAACGGGGTGCTACAAGGGGAAAACGGGGAGCTACGAGGGGAAAACGGGGTGCTAAGAGGGATTATGCTATGTCCGTGCCTCAAAAATCCCGTACGAATGGTATGTGAGGGGAGTCGGCATGATATACGGCATCACAATATGGTGTGAAGGGAGAAAACGAGGCGGATGGAGGCGGGATGCTACTTTTTGAATGCCGGGTTCGCGCGAGCGGTTATTGCTGGAACGTGTGCACGTTGCGACGGTAGCACAATACTCGCTTTCGCTAACCCTAAATGCACGTTGCGGCGGGCGGGATGACGCTCCATCCTTCTCTGACTGAATTACCCTTTTATATAACTCTACTTGCGTTCCTTATTCCGCGGCATCATGCGAAGTATTAGGTAGTCTTACATTGTGCGTTCGGAGGTAGGCGATGCTATCACACTAATGCCGTTGGCGGCGCTGCGCGACGTTGCGAGAATAAGGCAAGGTAGAGCTCGCGTCACGACGGGGAGGTACACTGTTGAGTTGAATGATGTCAAGTGCATTTTGCTTGTGTGGTTTTTTGGTAGTGCGCAGGTTGAGATCGTTCCTTCTACTCCGCTCCCCGCCTCCTCCCCATCCTCCGCCTCTTCTTATCCAACCTTGTGTTGGCGGATGTTCCTTTTCGTACCCCCTTTCTCGTGCCATTTCGTTTTTTTCGCTGGAGGCGTTCCTTTCAGTTTCCTCTCGCCCCACTGTATGCATTTCGCGAAGTGCTGACGTCATCACTCTTCCAAAGCCAAAAGTGCACCGTCGCTTTAACATTTGCTCATACTCGCATGGATATTTCTCCGCACTTCAAGTCAATCCTCCGACACTGGAACGTTGTGACGCGATCCTTAGGAGAAAACTTTTTGAGTTTCGAATAGCTTTTGGAATGAAGGAGACAAACCACACATCCGAAGCGCGTTGCTTGGAGGTTTGCGTGCGCAGAGGACGAAAATGCGGGAAAGTGGACAGCGTCGCCGGAGCTGAATTGTTGACGTCATAAACCAACCTCGCCAGAGAACTATCCTCACAGAAGTGTAGCAAATTGTAGGAAGCTGCCTTCGGACTTCAGCTGACGACGACTGTGCGACCCGAACGACAATCGCCGCTCAGTTCCGCGCCATATCAGATCAGCTAGCAGTGAGTTGCGGGATGAGAATCGCCACATCAGCATATTGAAGCAACACTCCTGCGGACGACAAACGAGCGAGCGACCCAACAATTATCGCCCGAAATCATCCAATAGTGTCACGCTGCCAGGGGCAAGGCGCTATCGATGAGAGTCGCGACATCAGGACGCGGCACCTATAGCACCGACCCTGCGTTCGATCCTGCAAAGGATCGAAATTTTGAGTTCAAAATGGTGTTGGAACTTGTAAATGTTTTCATCAGGGTTTCAGTGCGGTGGAATCGGCGATCCTGCAATCGATCGTGCAAAATTGCTAGAGGTGCCGCGTCCTCAGCAGATTGAGAACACACTCACCCCCACGCACCTGTTCTACTACACACTGTTTCCCAAGCCTTGTGGGGTCCCAGTGTCCCACTCAACCCAGTCACCTGTCAGGTTGCTAGGCAGCAGTTCAAAGCAGCTACGCGAGCATCTCGCTATTAACAGTCGCACTTAATATGGATAACACATTTTACATCTCGACTTTAGTCAATGCACACGGAACTGAATGTGGACATACGCCATGTACCCATGCCCTGCACGGTGAGAGCAAAACAAACAGATCACGCTGCGTCAACTAGGGAAACAATGTCCATCGTTTGCAACTGGAGTTAGTCCACGAGTCAACGAGCAACTCCTGAATCACGATTCACTACCACTCAAAGGTGCTTGCCGAATTCCTCGACGGTGGGTGCTTCCCGCATCAGCACTCACGCTTCTCGTCCTCCCGCGAAATTCGCGGACAGCGTAGGCGTATCTCGTAATTATACTTTCAAAAGGACGTACCCGTCGCATTCAGCTATGGCGGCAGCTCCTGTGCTGCCAGCACCCACGCAGTTCAAAGCGGCTCGAGCCGTGGTGGCGGTAATGGAAGCGTACCGCGACGCGCGCGTGCAGTTCGTCATGAAAGTCGGCGAACTCGCCGTTTCGCCTCAGGTGCGCCTTAGTCGCAGTCTCTTTCGCTGTCTAATCTCAGTGTCTCTCAGCATCCAAGCTTCGATCTGCGAATTGATGGCGAATTCATGACGCTGCTGGGTGAAGTTCCTTCTTTGCGATTCGCCAGCTCGCCGGCTCTTTTGACTCCGAATGCGTTCCACCCGCGTTTCTTCCCCCGCAGAACGCGGAGGCGATGCTGTCGCTCGGCGCGCTGCAGCTGCTGCTGCCGCTCGCGCAGGACAGCATGGCGTCCGTGCGATCCGCTGCGACGCTGTCGCTGGGTCGCCTGGCGAATGTGTCGCACACGTGGTCGCACCACCTCGTGCAGCGCAACGTGCTACCGTCGCTCTGCAAGGCGCTCACGTCAGTCCTCCTCTCCCTGCGTCCATTCATACGTGTCCTTAGAATTCGCGAATGTGACATCCCCGTTCATCTCTCTGCAAGGCACTCGCATCACTCTCCTCTCTGCGTCTATTCACACGTGCGTCTTTCTTTCTTAAGAATTCGCGAGCTCAGAAGCGCAATACCTTCTTTGTGCAATGCACTCACGTCACTCCTGCTGCTGTGTCCATTCTCTCTTTCTCCCCCTCCACCCCCTCGTTTTCCCCTCTCCTCTCCCTCTACAAACGCCCAGCAGCATATCTAGTCAAGGCCGTGTCACGCCACGCTGGCGCTGAGCTGGCAGAGGCGGGCGTGCTGCCGTTGCTGATGGAGTGCCTTCTGGATGCCATGCTGGCAGTGCGGGAGACTGCTGCGTGCGAAATTGGGCCACGTGGCGAAGCACAGCGGTGACGTGGCGATGAGAGTGGTTGAGACCGGTGCAGTGCGGTTGCTGGTGACATGCCTTCAGGTGGGATTTGCAAATTGCACAACTGGGCAACCTGGTTGGGAGTAGAGTAACACATGTTCCCATGCACTCTTACCGTCCTCCTCATGTTTGCCGCCATTACCTCATCTCGTCTCTCACATATCTCATATCCTCCTGGTATGGCGATGAGAGTGGTTGAGACGGGTGCAGTGCGGTTGCTGGTGACACGCCTTCAGGTGAGATTTGCACGACGTGGCGACCTGGCTGGAGTAACTCGAGACTAGATGGCAGTGGATTCTTCTGCCTTATCACTTGCATGTTTTTTCACAATCTCTACTGCATGCGTTCATGCGTCACCTTGGCCTGTAGCCCTTATTCCCATGGTGGCATTAACTCCTCACATCTCCATATCTCATTTCCCCATACCTCATCCCCCAATCTCCCATGGCAGGACGAGGCTGTAGCGCGGATATCCCTCTCAGTGCCGAGTGACGTGGCACGCCACTCGCTGCTGCACGCTACAGCCGTGGCCGATGCGGGCGGCATTAACGCCATCGTCACTCTGTTGGGATCACCTGACGTCAAGACAAGGCTCCAGGTGTAGTCCTCACCTGTTCTTACAATGAACTCACTTCACTTTCTCTGTTCATGCGTCCCCACACACCCCTCTCATGCGTCCCCACCTACCCCTCTCATGCGTCCCCACCTACCCCTCTCATGCACACTCTCAACCCCTCTCTGCTGTCGGCTGCTGCACCATGCTTGCTCCTTCCCTCCATTTCACCCTGCGGATGCCCTCCTTTTGTCCTGCCTTTGCCGTTTGCTCTTGTTTGCCTTGACATTTTCCAAAGGAGGTTCTGGATCTTTACAACAAATACACCCTTCTGCACCCCATCTCCACGCCCCCCTGTGCCTTCCTTAACTTCCTTGCACCCTGCCTGCCTTTCTCCTACCCCTGTCTCAGGGGCGCCTCTCCTCTCAGGGGCGCCTCTCCTCTGAGGGGCGCCTCTCCTCTAAGGGGCGTCTCTCCCCTAAGAGGCTGGCCCCTCTCTACCCACCTGTCTCCCCCAATACCCCCTTCCCCCTCCCTCCTCTTCCCATCCCCCCTCCCTGTCCCCGTATCCCCTTTCCCTTCTCTCTCTTCCCCGATTCTCAGCAGTGTTGGACCAGCCGGGAGCGTCCCGTCTGCTGCTCTGCCTGCACGACTCCTCCCCTTCCCTGCGCGCGTCAGCAGCAGCGGCAGTGAGGGAGGTGGCGAGGCAGGGAGCGGCAGCAGCAGGCAGGCTGGTGGGCATGGGGGGCATGCGGGGGCATTGGGCTTCCTGGGAGCGTCCTCACCAGACGCAGTGGTGGCATGGGCATGGGCATGGGCATGGGCATGGGCATGGGCATGGGACGGCATACCCCCGCCCCGCTGCACGACTTGGTAGTGGAGGGTGATGCTCACGTCACCCTCCAAGGGGCGTGCACCTGGGCACTCTCACTAATGGCTTCCCATGGGTGAGGATGGGTGGGGATGGGTGGGGATGGGTGGGGATGTTTGAGTATGGGTGAAGATGGGTGGGAATGGGGGTAAGCGTATGCGAGTGGTTGATAGTGAAGTCTGACGAGCGTCAATGGGCAATGGGAAACTTGCCTGCCTTGCCCCTTCAATTCGCTTCCTCCCCCCTTGCTCCCCATTCCTCCCCCCTTGCTCCCCCTTCCTCCCCCCTTGCTCCCCCTTCCTCCCCCCTTGCTCCCCCTTCCTCCCCTCTTGCTCCCCCTTCCTGCCCCCTTGCTCCCCATTCCTCCCCCCTTGCTCCCCCTTCCTCCCCCCTTGCTCCCCATCCCTCCCCCCTTGCTCCCCCTTCCTCCCCCCTTGCTCCCCCTTCCTCCCCCCTTGCTCCCCCTTCCTCCCCCCTTGCTCCCCCCTGCACCACTCTTGCTCCTTCCCCCTTCTTCACGTTGCAGCTTCCCTCCCCTTCGCTCCACCCTTGTTGATTGCTCCTGTCCGCTTCTATACAACCACCTTAACTCTGCATCTCTACACCCCTTCTGCACCATTCTGCACCCATCTCCACGTCCCCCCAAACCCTCTTAACCTCTCTGCATCCCTGTGATTCTTTCAGCTCCACCTGTCTCCCCCCTACCCATCTGCACCGCTTTGCATGACATACAGGTCTGTGTCTGCCTCGCTACCATCTCTAGGCACTCTGAATCCCTCGCCCTGGTAAGCACTGCTCTGAACCTTTCCAAACCGTTCTGAAACGTCCTGAACATTCCTGAATCGCTGTTGACCGTTACCTCTGGTGTTTCCACTGTGTGCACAGCAGAACCTCCTGTCCGCCTGCACTCCCCCCCCTTCCCTGCCTCCTGAATCTCACCCAGTCTTGGACCATTCGTTTGCTTCTCTGCCTTCACAACATGTTCCTGCTTACCCTCTCTCTTCTCTCTTTTCCGCTTAAGCAACTGTTGGGCATCGCACGACTCATAGCACGACTCATCGCTCTCCCGCCCTGCCGGCACCAGCAGCACCAGCAGCAGCAGCAGCAGTGAGGGAGGTGGAAAGGCGGGGCCCTATATACTCATCCCCAAACCACTCTTTACCACTCCATCTCCACGGCCTCCCGTCCCCTCCCCGTTTCTCCCCCCCCCCCAGCTGCGTTCTTTCCCCCCCCAGCTGCGTTCTTCCCCCCCCAGCTGCGTTCTTCCCCCGCCCAGCTGCGTTCTTCCCCCGCCCAGCTGCGTTCTTCCCCCGCCCAGCTGCACAACATGCTCAACTGCTGCTCACTGGAATGTCTAATAATCTCCTCGACTGCTGCAAGATGCAGGCGGGGAGGTGAACACTGAATGTCTCACTTCCACACACAATGCTTCCGCTTCCTCCCCTCTGCCCTCTCCGCCCTCTTCCCTCTCCCTCCCCGCCCACGCACAGTGCGGATGGGGACAGTGCGGAGCAGGAATACACAGAGGGTGGGGAGTTGGAAGCGGAGACGGGGGAAGAGGGGCAGACGGGGGAGGAGGAGGTGACTCTGCCCCCATCACCACTGGCTCTGCCCCCATCACCACTGGCTCTGCCCCCATCACCACTGGCTCTGCTCCCATCACCACTGGCTCTGCCCCCATCACCACTGGCTCTGCCCCCATCACCACTGGCTCTGCCCCCATCACCACTGGCTCTGCCCCCATCACCACTGGCTCTGCCCCCATCACCACTGGCTCTGCCCCCATCACCACTGGCTCTGCCCCCATCACCACTGGCTCTGCCCCCATCACCACTGGCTCTGCCCCCATCACCACTGGCTCTGCCCCCATCACCACTGGCTCTGCCCCCATCACCACTGGCTCTGCCCCCATCACCACTGGCTCTGCCCCCATCACCACTGGCTCTGCTCCCATCACCACTGGCTCTGCTCCCATCACCACTGGCTCTGCTCCCATCACCACTGGCTCTGCTCCCATCACCACTGGCTCTGCCCCCATCACCACTGGCTCTGCTCCCATCACCACTGGCTCTGCTCCCATCACCACTGGCTCTGCTCCCATCACCACTGGCTCTGCCCCCATCACCACTGGCTCTGCCCCCATCACCACTGGCTCTGCCCCCATCACCACTGGCTCTGCTCCCATCACCACTGGCTCTGCCCCCATCACCACTGGCTCTGCCCCCATCACCACTGGCTCTGCCCCCATCACCACTGGCTCTGCCCCCATCACCACTGGCTCTGCTCCCATCACCACTGGCTCTGCTCCCATCCTAGATAAAGTCCTTCGCCTTGTGTGCACATCAGGCGTGGCCATCCACCAGCAGCGGTGCTCTGTGTGCTGCTCACGGCCGCTCTCTTCGTTCCTGCCCGCATCCCTCCACGCCCCACCAGTGACTCTGCTCCAATCTGTTGCCGTCCCATTTTTCCACTGTTTCCTCCCATCCGTTGTTGTCTCCCTGCTCACTGCTTTCCCTGTGTCGAACCCTCTGCCATTCACCCCTCGCCCCTCCCACCGTTTCTCCCACCAGGAGTGCAAGCAGCAGGCGGAGGTGAGGAACGAGTTGGAGCGGCTGCTGAGAGGCGCTTCTGCGCTGCCCAACTCAGCAGCCTGGCAGAGCTCATCTGAATGGCCATACGACTGCTTGAGAGCTTGACAGTGCCTTTTCGTTCACTCAGCAGCACCCTGCCACAGTTGATCCAAAGCTGCACAATTTAGAGTAGTCTTATTTTTACTCGGCATCCCGGCAATTCTGAGTTGAATTGGCACCTGGCGGCCTGCCTGAGGTCTGTCAGCAGCAGCTGCCTGAGGTCTGTCAGCAGTGTCTGTAGATGGGAAGGTCACCAGCTTTCGTTTGGCAGATCTGATGGGGGGTTTGCTCTTCTGCCTGCACGAGGAATACTTGGTGTGGTTTCTTTGAGCACTATGGATGAATAAACCTTGTCTTTCAATCAGCTCAGCAAGGGTGTATTTCATCTCACAAAAACTCTTTACAGGTACCTACTCAAATAGCTAAGCAGGAGGTTAGTATCACTGTCTCCTTTCACTCACATCTAAGGTGCATCAAGTCATCCCTACCCTACCCAGCACGGCACCTACATGACCGTGCCTCGCTCCCACATCTCTGGGTCGCCTGGTGTGTGCCAGGTGAGGGACCCGCTGAAGCGCAGCGCCATGAGGCTCGCAGAGCTGCGCGAAGCACTCAACGCCCTCAGCGGCCACCCTGCTGTGCCTGCCTCTGAGTCTCCGCCGTTGCTTCCTGCACCTGCTGCTGCTGCTGCTGCCGCTGCTCTGCTGAGTGCCCTTCTGGGTCTTTCCAGGCTTATCTGGGGAAGCGCAGGGACCGCCACGATCTGGATGGCCTCGATTGTTTTCTTCTGAAACTCCATCTGCGCACACAGCTGCTCCACACCTGTGGGGAGAGGCATGAGGAGGAAGGCAAGGGGGAGAGGAGGGGCAAGGAGACGGATGAGTGGAACGAGAGAAGGCCGTCAAGACACACGATGGAACGGTTCATATGAAGCGTGGAGTGGGAACACCCCCCTCTATACGCCTGTGCACTCATGCACCTGAATCGCCCGCATCTGAGCATGTGATCCCACTCACTCTCAAGGTTGAGGCACATGGTTGACTCGCTGGCCCAATCCGATTCCGATCCGCCCTCCTCCTCCCCTGCGTCCCCTCCCCTGTCGTCCAGACCCGTCTCTCCCCCATGGCTGCCGCCCCACTCGTCGCTCACACTGCTGACCCCGCAGCTCACAGCGTCGCTGACGTCATCCAGGACCACTAGTCGGTCCCCTTCTCTCTCCACCTCCTCCGCCTTCTCCGCTGCGTTCTCCTCCGCCTCCTCCTGACGCGAAGCCGCCAAGGGAGGAGCGCGGCTCGCGATGCCACCCCAAGCAGCCACCAAGCCGGCGCCATGTGGCATGTTTCTACTCGGCACCGTGGCGCACCGGTGCCTCGACAACTCCCTTTCCGCCTGCGCCGCCGCCCCCATGACTGTTCGCCCCTCCGCCCGTCCGTTTAAGCTCACGCTGCGGAACCCCATCGCCGCGGGCCGCGCGGCGTCTGCGGCGGCGCGCTTCGCGGCAAAGTCCGACTCGGAGCTCCTCCGAGCGGATTCGGTCGCGGGTTTCGCGCCGATCATGGCGGCAGTGTCGGCGAGGGTGGAGACGTACGGCTCGCCGCATTCCACGCTGCCTGCGCTCGACACGCTGCGGCTGCTGTTACCCGTGATCACAAGGCGGTTCGACTCCACATTACAGTCTCCCCCGAAATCACAGTTTTCAGCTGCGAATCCCCCAGCGGCGGAATCAGCGGCGATGGACGCGGGCGGGGACGAGGGCGGGAGCGAGGAGAGGGAGGAGCGCGGCTTAGCGCCGCGGGAGGGTTGGCTGGAGGGGGACGAGGCCGCGTTGGGAGAGGTGACGAACCCCAAGGGCGTGTCGGGCGACGCGCATCGGGAGGTCTGCGACGCGGCTCGAACAACCTCTGGGCGCTGAACGGGGAGGATGAACCACTGCGCTTGCTGCGCCGCCTTTACCGGCGCCGGAGCCGCTGCATTGTCCGTCAATCGCGTGCTCTCCTCGTCGCACGGGTATGCCGCAGTACGCGGCGCCGACCCCTCAGGAGGCGTCGCAGGGCGCGCGGGCCTGCCGAAGGTAGTCCCCGGCGAGTGGCGCGGGCTGTTGGAGAGCGAGGAGAAGTCGATGGGGCATGGGGAGCGCGGGCGGGGTAGCGACGGTCGCGGGGATCTCGCGGGGGGGCGGGGGGCGGATGGAGGCTTAGCGGTGGAGTGATGGGAGAAGAGTGGGAGGACGGGGAACGACGCGGGTGAGGAGCAGGACGACGCGTCGTCGCCTGGATTGCTGGACACGTCAGATGGAATGCTCAGCGGCGGCGCGTTGAACGGCTTCCTTGCGTCCAGGGCGCGAATGGTACACTGCTGCTGCTGTGGTGGTAGCGGATCGCGCTGGCCCGTGTCGCAACCGCGGATTGGCGAGGGATGTTGAGGCCGCGGCTTGCTTGCGAGATCTGCGGCGGTCTTTGCACCGAATGCGATCGGAAACGACGGTCGATCCCGCGACGGGGGCTGTGGGAAAAGGACTCCGGGGCCCATTGGTACGCTCCGAGTCTGCTCGAGATCGCTCTCTTGTGACGACGCTGAGTTGCCCTGCTGGTCACTAAAGCTCTTAACGCCAACGCAAGGGAGAGGTTCCAACGCGACAGGTGTGACGTCGCCGTGATCAGCAGCTGTTACAAAGCCTGTCCTCTACATGAGTGGGGCGCTGCTGTCATGCGGAAATATCCCGCAACTGCAACCTGTACGGCTTCAGTGTCCGAAGGCCAGTCTGGAGCGAGATTGAGAATATGGAAGGAAAAGCCGTCTACCTTGAGGCTTGGGACAGATCCAAAGACAGGTGGTGGTTTTGGGTCGAGATTCGAGAAGAGCAGCAGAGAGCAGCAGGCAACCAGAATGCTGCTGTCGCAGGCTGAAGAAGCAAGCAGACGGGACGGGTCACGGGATAGGGGCGGGGCAGGCAGGGGCTGGGGAAGGGGGGGTAGGCAAACTAGAGGATGTTACTCTTCTTCACGTGTTGCTGCTGGCTGGTTGTTTCATCCCGGTTGCCGCGCGTGGATGCATCTATTCTGCCAGCAGCCAAGTGTGGGATGGGAATTTGGGAAACGAACGTGGAAGCCATGGATCGGATCATTGGATTGGATGGAGCTGTCGCAGGAACTCGTGGTGCTGCTGGCACTGGTGCTGCAGCAGGCAGAGAGAAATCGGGTGGGGTACACCAGTGTATCATGACACGAATGTGTGCTACCCTGTCGGAAAAAAAATCCTACCCAAACGCAAAATGGCCCTCCCTCCTACTGGAAATTTTGAAAGAGCAAAGTTCAGCAATCTCTTAACAGATATGCGTGGTATTCCGGCATGTCAGATCTACGCTGAAGGTGAAACAGACTGGGAAGAATAGAGGGTGGTTTGTGAACAAACTCCCAACGGACGAGCTACAGTACAAACATCCAGTCGGGATCCAGCTGCGCGAAGAGACACCAGCCCGGATTGTCCCTACGAACACCCCGATTAGCAGGGTAACTCGGACAGCAAAACCTGAGAATGCGAGCCTTCCTCTCCCCCTCAAGGCTGCCTGCCACGTCGGCATTCGCTCATTCGATTATCCAAACCAAACACACCAGCAAGTGTCGTATTATGGTTGGCATCAACTTGTCTCTTACATCTCCTTTGAATTGTCAGTTGCAGAGCGGCCAACATCGAATGACGTTTATAACCGCGTCGCAAGCGTGCTCTATGTGGCTACTTTCGCTCGGAGATGATCCGAATGATGGCAATTTGGAGAGAGGAACTGCCAACCATCAGTTGAAGATATCTAGCGGACTGAACGAAACACAATTCCAAGAAGCGAGCGTGTGGCTTGCATTACAATGGGCCACTTGTCAGAGAGAATGGATGCCTGTTGCCTGTCCCTTGATTTCAAGAGACTGTACTATAGGACACGAGTACTGTACTCTGCCACTAGGCGTTCATACGTTCTTATTTTAGTTATAGCATTAACTCACCTTAACATACCTTGTTGATATACAAGTGTGCCTAGTCTATCATGAGTAAGCTTAATTACTAGAACGAGCCACTAGACTCGTAAAGAATAGTGCTGTGCAAGATGCAAGTGTTCATAATCCTTAGCCTTGCACAGATTAACATAAACGATTTTTGGAAGTAGTGTGAGATGAACACATCTAGCGGCTGGGTATCAGTTGTGCACCTGATATTTCCCCTTCTTATCAGTTCCTGCCTTGCCAGCTCGAAATGCATTGGTTCCTTACTTGGAAGGTTGGCACGTACGGGTTTGGTCCACCCATTGGGACCCCTTGCTGCTCCAGCAGCTGCAACGCCGAGTCAACATCCGCTTGAGAGACGGACGGGGAGCGGGACAGAAGCCGAAAGGAGATCTGTCGGGAAACATAGGCCGATGAGAAATGATAAGGTCAACAGGAAACATAATTGAGATGTCTGCAGTGCCGTGCGTGGAACACGGATGGCGGAATGCAGAACGGGAATGTTGTTTGAGTGCCACCTGATCAGCACAACTACCATAAGCCGCCATCAGGTTGGGAGCATTTTGATTTAATGGGGCAAAGGCATAAGCCATTGCTAGCATGAAGATTGCCTGCATACCTGGCTTGTTCTCCCCGAGCCAATGTTAGCAGGCGGCACGTAGCACGAGTAGAGGAGCGCCATGCTGTATGAGTCTGACAGCGCCCGGTTGCCCCACAGCCCCGCCACCCACATGTTCTCCACCACGCCCTGCCCGTTGCCGTACGTCACCTGCATCTTGCCCACCTGCCATGCTCGTGTGGTGGTGGTGTGGGTGGTTTCGGATTGGAGCAGCAGCTTTTTAAGAATGGAAAATGTGTTGATGAATAGCCAATGAATGTACATACGCAGTGGCTGCAGTCAAGGACGCGCAATGCAGTGCGAGCAGCGAGCTAAGACCGGGAAGGAGGTCACATCCCATGCACAGGGCAGGCAGACACCAGAGGGGTTCTGCATTGTGCAGCGCATGCGGTGCGGGGGGGGGGGGGGGGGTTTGGGCACGCCGCTGTACCTGTGAGGCTTCCACTTGTGTGATGGCGCCGATGGCGGAGTAGGAGAAGCGCATGGCGAGCGGGTTGGAGAACATGAGCCCCGCCATCGGCCGCATTGACGCCGTTGCTGCGCCCATGCGCCCCGTCGCGCGCCCAAACCCGCTCACGTTGCGCGTGAGGCCCACAATGTCGTTCAGGTTCAGCAGCAGCTGGGGGGAGTGATGGCAGGAAGGGGAATAATGGAAAGATAATCAATTAATTTCGTGGATGGTGGCCAGTATTTGAGGAGGGAATGTACTCGAACGGGGAAAATGCAGGGCGACTGCAACTTCCGCCGCCCAACGCCCCCGTGCTTGGTCTCCAGGCGCGCTCACCGTCTGTTTGCCGCGCAGGTTGCCGAGCTTGTTCTCCACCTTGTTCACGCGTCGCGTCGCGATCTGCGCCGACTTCATGATGCTCACGCGCCCCTTGTTGATCGCCGTCGACTCCCTCTGCAGCTGCTTGACGGCGCTCACGAGCTTCTGCTTCGTCTGCCAGATGAAGAAGACGCGGTCCATCTGGCTCAGCTGCGCGTTCAGCTGCTGGATGCGCGCCAGAAGGTTGTAAGCGCGCTCCGCGTGCGCGGAAACCTGCGCCATGGAGTCCGCGATGTCGCCCAGCGCGACCTTGACGTCCGCCTCGACGTCGTTGGGGAGCTCCGCCCAGGAGAGCGTATTCTGCGCGTTGCTCACTTGCAGCGTGGCGGAAGAGCCCTGCGCGGGGGGGCGTGCGATGGCGGCGCAGACCGAGCGCAGGTGGTCGCGCACGGCGAGCGCGGACTTGGAGAGGCCCTGGATCTGCGACTGGCGCGCGGGCGTGGTCATGCGGATGCCGCGCTTCACCACGCTGGGGAAAACGGGATGGGGGGAACGGGGAGAAGGAACGGAGGGGGACACAAACGGAGGCGGGGAAAAGTTTGTCGCACGAGGCGGAATGAGGAACGAGGAGAGAGAGAGACGAGAGAAGAAAGAGGATGGAGGGACGAGAGACGGCAGGTTGCAGAGCAGCGACGCAGCATGATCAAAGAGGTGTGCGGCACCTGAATTTGTTGAGGCTGTGGTTGATGCCGCGGAAGACGAAGTTGTAGGTGACGCACGACATGCCCAGCTCGCCGCTCACCTCCAGCTTCGACTCCGCCGTCGACCCGATCTCGTACCACTTGCCCTGCCGCAATGCCACGCTCACTCAAAGTTACTCCAGGCCCGAGGACTAGAATGTTAGGGACGGCGTGAATGCGCACTGACAACTTACGTCCAAGCAGAAGTGGGAAATATAGAACAAGGCAGTGCCACGGAGGTGTCCGGGCGGTGGAACCTAGCATTTAATAAAGCGTTCTAGAACCAGCTTGTTTTTCAGCCCCGCAATATACGCGACGCAGCGATTTTCAACGGAACAAACAAGCGCGATTGTATTCGCAATGTAAATGAGTATCTTGCCAACGTGCGGTATGGAATGCACGGGCGATTGCTCCAGGAGCTAAAGGCTTATGGGCGGAATGTGATTGAAACGCTGACTGGGCAAACGCAGCAACTATGCCAGCGTTTCGCGTGTGCCTGCCACGAGAGGCGCGCGCCGGTACCTGGAAGAACTCCGCCATGAAGGTGTTGCTCGTCTGCACGTCGGGGCACGCCCCCACCGTCTCCTTCACCAACTCCTGGCAAAAGTAGGTGTCCCCCGCGCGCGCGCGCTGCCACGCCGCGCACCACACCGCGACGCACGCTAGCACAGCGGCCAGGCGGCCGCCGCGGCCTACTCGAGAAGTAAAGGGCATGGTGGAGGCGAGGAGGGTTGACGATGACGCGTGGCTAGGCGAGATAGAATATTGCTGCCGGCAAGATCTAATGCAGGTCAGCACGAAGGCTTCAGTTACTAGATGTGTCAGGTAAGGCTTGACTACGCTGGTTAGCTTTAGGACAAGATAGGCTAAACTACGCCGGCTTAATTAGGCTAATGAAAGAAGTGAGGTAAAACATGTCACATTCAGGACCGTAAACCGGCAATACGCTATCGTTATGATCTTTCTCGCCAACCTATCTGCTAGGCCACCTCAATGCTTCTGCGCGATTGAACTTAGTGATGAGCTGCAAGGACGTATCATCGACGAATGCGGACTTCTGAATCTGAATGCCTTGTCGGGCTAGGAGAGTCAATGTGATGGAAAGAGAAATGCAAAGCAGGGAACGAAAGGTCTTTCTTTCGGGGGTGCTTGGTGTGTGGAGGCGACATTGGCGGGGCAGAAAACCGCGAGTGCGCCAAATTCCAATTGACCTGAACAACATTGGAAATTCGAAATTGTGATGAGTGCGACGCGATGGCTACATGCGCGCCTTGAGAACGCGCGCCGTGGATTTTCGCGTCGCCAAGAGTGAGTGATCGTTTGGAATCACCTGGACGCGAAAATGGCAAGTAGACGAAAACGGCGAGCGTGTAACTTTCATCCACAGAGAAACAGTTCGTTCTACGCACAAACATTACAATATTCATTATTAAAGCTGTGCTACTAGTCCAAAAATCACAAAGCCACAAGAAGTGGATGGATACATTAGGCAGTACAGCGACACATCCTATCAATAGTAGAGCTAATATCAAGAAAAAAAAATCATACTCATGCAGACTTCAATGCTAGCTGTGCTGGTTAGTTCTATCAAACTAGTACACATTCTAGTCAGTTCCCCCACAAACTATTGCACGCTGCTTCATCTTGATTTGCCTTGATGAAAATGTTTGCTCCCCCTAGTATGATGCCTTGTCTTTCCAGCTGGGAAATTTGGGCGTCGATCTCCGATTGATCAACTGATGTTGTGCGCGCCAGTATGGACACCGAGAACTGGGCAACGAGCATCAAATGCAAGGACATTGGCTCAGAAATGTACAACTGCAGTTCTTTCCCCATGTCTCTGGAAGGGCTGAAACACATTGTTCTATGAAAGTAATCCAATCCGCTCACCTGGCCGGCATCACATGACACAATGGTGGTCATGTTATACGCGGAATCTGCATCCCCTTCAAGTTTGTTGATCAGGTAGTTGTTACTCCGAGCAAATCCAAAGAGGCTCACTGCAAACTTCCCAGGCTGTCCAAGAGGAGCAAGGCGAGACACATAAGAGCAATGTGATAGTAGCATGTGGGTTATCCTCAATCAATGATGACAGCAATGAATCGACGTCCCTCCCCTCATCTCACCTCATGCCTGTCTTGCACGGCTTGCATGCGCAGCTGGGTCTGGGAATTCCAGGGGAAGGGCGACGGGAACATGGTGAGGGAGGGTGCGAGCACGGACACCGCCAGCACGCGAATCACAGTGGTCGCCAGGCCCACCTTCCCTCTCACTCCCAATTCCCACGACGCTCGTGCCAGGAAACCAGACAGCCGGGAGGTGAACCTGGTGGCGGCGCTGCTGTTGGCAGCGGGCAGCATGAGCTGCATCTGCACCACGGCCAGGCTTCCCCTCATCCCTGCGCGCCGAGCCTTGCCAGCAGCAGCAATGATGCGGTTGGCTGCGTCTGCAAGCCCCTGCTTGGTGACGTCCAGCCCGGGCTCCTGCGGGTCGTTGAACGTGCTGGCGCGGTTGTTGTGGATCTGCAGCAGACCCAGCTGCCTGTAGATCGCCAGCGCCTGCTGTGACACAGTGGCGCTAGATGCAGCTAGTATGACCGCAGCCTCAGCTGCAAGCGCAGTTCCGTTAGCTTGCTGGGAGAACGGGCTTGTGCTGCTGCTGCTGGTGCTGTTGTCGCTAGTGGGCGTATCTCCGCTGCTATCAGCCCCGCTACCGGTTCCATCATTCCCTCCCGTTATCTGAGGCCCAGGAACAAGCATCGCCTGTAGGGAGGCGTGCGCTCTCGCGCTGTAAACGGCCGCCTCGCACACACGGCGCAGGTTGCGCGAGATGCGCCCTGCTGCCGCGGAAATGCGCCACACCTGAGCGGGATAAGGGGGGGTTAGGAGGTGGGATGGGCGAGAGGAAAGCGCAGGATGGCTGACGAAATTGCATTTCTGGACGGTCACCTAAGCATGATCGGGAGAGCACGCAGTGCACGAAACGCGTTGCATGCTGGGAAAGTCGCAACGTGGCGCACCTGATCGGCTCGGAACGGACTGACGGTGCGAAGACCGGGACTGAGGAACCTGGTTGCGGCGAGGGGGGCCCAAAGGAAGAGGGCAGATAGCGTGAGAAGAGAGGCAGCATTTGCGAAGGATGGTGATGATTGGAAAACGGCTGAGAGTTAGTCCCACGAAAGCTGACGCCCCTTCGTTCCCCCCCTCCCCCCCCCCCCCCCCCCCACACTTGTGACCTCATGTCAAGAGGGGGTTGCGGGATTTCGAGGCTTACCCAGCGACGTTGCTGCCGTCGGTGGCGGCGCCGAGCGCGGAATACTTGGCGACGTTGCACGAGAGGCCACTCGACGTGCTGAATTTGTGCAGCGCACTGCTGCCCACCTCGAACCACGCGCCCTGCGATCACACACAGTGCCACGCGATTTCGGACTCGTTAAGGCTGGGGAACGAGAGCGATACGACTGGCTACGGATGACTGGGAACAGAAAGAAACGACGAGCTTGCTCACACTCAGCAGCCGAACACTCTCCCTGCCAAAACTTCGTCCTGCCCCATAACACCTACCGTAAATTTCTCCAAGTCCAACGAGTCGACAGTCGATACTTTCGGGCATCGATTCGGGAACTGCGCTATGAAGGTGTCGCAGAAAGCCGCGTGAGTTGTTGTTATCGAAGAGACAAGGATGAATGACGTCAGTACGAAAACTAGACATATTCTTCGTAGCAGTGCCATGAAAATAGGTCAAGGTAAACGGCCAAAGATACAAAAACAGGCCTCAGTCTAAGGTCCACTGGAAGGTGCGAGAGAATATACTGGACATTCGACTATGATTACTCACTGGAGCAGGTGTTTCTCAATCGTACAAGGTTGAGCTGAGAACAAAACACGTGCCTTGCCTTGACCAAGAAATGTGAGGAACAATTCAAGTGGTGAGTCGAGTCGAGGCGCAAAATACTAAAATGCAGCGGGAAATGCCACCCGTTCCACCCAGTCCCAATGGTCGAAGCGACACGACGATGATTTGCGAGTCTGCGACGCGAAAGCAGACGACTCAAATTCAGTTTGGTTCAGCAATTCCGCACTACGAAAGTGGTCATACAGCTGAGATAACTGCACTTAATTACATCCTAGTATAGAAGATGCATGCTTGCATTAACGTCCATATCCATATATATGCGGATTATAACAGAACTGAATTTGAAGTTTTATTTGTTGAAATTATAGAACTTAAATGAGTTTTACAATATGAAATGGATTTACAGACCATATTTATGGCGTTTATTCAAGTCTCCATACACTTTTAGCCTTAACATTTTTTAAATTGAGCGTCGTTCAGTCATAGGTACATGTATCGAACCTCCCAATACTTCACCTGATAGGGTGTCAAGTGAAATGGACCCATCCGCATTCCCCGGAGCTGAGGGTGTCACCGCCTCCGTAGCGCAGGGTGGCGCTCATGTTGCGCTTTCAGGTGCTGATACGGCACACTATTGGCTGATCCACGCGTCGCAGCTTCCGTTACGTGGCTCCGCCGCACTCTGCGCCCCTTTCAACCAGCCCAGAAATGCCTGCACCGCTGGTTGCTTGACCCAACCCAACTCAAGCCAACGCATGGCCCCAACAAGGCGGGCATAGCTGCGGAAGAAACGCCACTGGACTGGACAGAACGCGACATCTCGCGCCAATTGCGTGTGTGGCTGACACAGAATTCCATCTCGGGACTAGTGCTGGATGAAAGGCGCGACCTAGGTGGATTATTAGGTCACACTGAAAGCACCAGTAGGCTACGGCTGTAAGCTATTGTATACGACTGTCAGCTATTGTATACTTTCGTTCGCGACGCTGCATCGTCTTCATTGTAACAAAGCTCGCGCTCACGTCACGGTAAAGTCGAATTAGATCGAGCAGTTTCTGTTCCTCTGCTAGCGACATGGGCGCAGAACCGGACTCGAAGCGCGAATCGACGCTGGACGAATCGGTCCAAGTGGCTGATGCGTACGACGACGACGAGGAGTCACAGTACGCGTCGATCAGCAAGGTGGGTCGTCGCATGGCGTCGCAGGACAGAGGCGGTCTGCGATGTTTGTGCACGGTGATGGGTCGCGATATTGCTGCGCGCTCGTAGTGCAGCGGAGGGCACTGCACGCTGCAGGCGACGGGAAGCGCAGTTGCGGCTAGTGCGAATGCCGGACGCCGCTCGGCCGTATGTGCTGCTCGAGTGGAGGGCACAATGCTGGGTAGGGCAGAAAGGGCGTGGCTTGCGAGGGTAGAGGATAACGTCATTGCGGGAGGGATGGCCGCGCGGTCGATGACCGAGGCCGCGCGTTTCACTCGACCTCCTTCCATGCCCCACACTCCGCTCGACCTCCTTCCATGCCCCACACTCCGCTCGCGCGCCATTCGTCTTTTTCATCGCCGCTCACTCACCCCCGCCACCCGCATTTCTTCTCGCCGTCCCTGCGCCTTCCCCCCACCCCCTCGTGTGGTCGCAGCAAACAATCGCGGCGAGCGCGCGTTACTCGACCGTGCGACAGCTCTTCACGTCGCCCGCCGACTACGGTCAGCCACGCGCCCTCGCCCCTCCATTACCTCTGTCCCTCCCGCTCGTCTCTCTCTCGCTCGCGCTTCGCGCCTTCCTGCGTTCGCACCTTCGCCACCCCCTCACCCCAATCTTCCTCTCCCCTTGACCCTCCTCTGTCTTCTTTCCACCCCCTCCCCCAATCCTCCCTCCAACTCCCACTCCCCCTTCCACGTGCCCCAACCCTCCCCCCGGCAGACCCGTCGCGCGAGACGCACTACGTGCTGGTGGTGCACGGCACGTTCGACTCGCCGCCCGGCCCGGGGAGCCCGCCGCCATGGTACTTCCTGGACGCGAAGCGCGCCGACAACTTCTGCCACCTCATCGCCAAGGACCTCGCGCGCACGCCGCTCGGCTTCGACGCCGTGTGGCGCCAACTGCCGGGTGCGCAGGGGGGGGGAATGGAAGGAAGTGCGGAATTGGGGAAGCTGGCGGGCGAGGTGCGGGGAGAGGGGCGCTACAAGGTTGGCGATACGCGAGCTTACAATCCGTTGACCCTCCTACTTACCTGCGTTCTCCCCTCCGCTTTCCCGCCCTGCACCCTCTCCGACTCACTCCTCCGTTCTCCCACCCCCCCCCCCCCTTCCCCACGAGCGCAGACTCGCACGCGGGCATGCGGTTGCGCGAGGACGTGCCGTACCCCTTCCACTGGTCGGGGCACAACACGCACGAGGCGCGCGTTGATGGTGAGCGCGCATGGGAGGGCATGGGGAGTGAGCGTGTCGGGGATGGTGGGAGGAGTGAGCGCGCCCGGGGGGGAAGGTGGAATGAGCGTGCCCAGGGAAATGGGGGGAGTGAGCGCGCCTGCGGGGATTGGGAGGGTTTGCGGCAAGAGGCGCGAATTCCGGGCACGGCGCCGCACAAGGTCGCCATGGCCGTGCTTGCTCACCCCACTCCCTCTTGCCCCGTCCACACCATCCCTCTGCTCCGCCAATGCCGCCACCACTCACTACCGCCCCGAACCCCTCTTCCTCCCCCACCACTCCCACCCCACCGCCCCCCTGGCGCAGCGGGCAAGGCGCTGGCGCAGCTGATCCACGCGGTGGGGTGCTCGGACCCGTCGGCGCGCGTGCACGTGGTGGCGCACAGCCACGGCGGGAACGTGGCGCTGAAGGCCGTGTCCATGTACCTCTCCCTGCTCCGCCGCGACTCCCGCGACAGCAGCCGCGCCGCCCACGACCAGATCACGTCCGCCTTCTGGGAGGCGCACGCGGAGGGGTACCGGAGCATCAAGGAGCACCAGGAGGTGAAAGTGAGCGCCGTGTGGATGCTGGCGTTGGCGCCGTTCCTCGTGGTGAAGCGCCCATGGCGGGGCGACGAGGCGCTGGGCGGCTTCCCCTACGCCTACTTCCAACGCGTTGACTCGCTGCTCGGCCTCCCCAAGTCAGTGCCGCCGCCCCAACTGCTCCACGCCCTACCCCCTGCACCACACCCCAACCCCCTGCACCACACCCCAACCCCCTGCACCACACCCCAACCCCCTGCACCACACCCCAACCCCCTGCACCACACCCCCCTCCCCGTCCTGCACTCACCTCCCTCCACTCTGCTCCTCCTCCCCTCTTCTCACTCCCTCCCTCATTCCTTCGCCTCTCCCACCTTTCTCTTCAGCCCACCAGCCACAATCCCGCAACCCTGTACCCCGTCCCTTCTCCGTGTCTCGCTCTCTTCCCCACAGGGTGCGGCAGGCCAAGTACCTGCGGAAGAAGTGGGCGGGGAGCAGCAGCACCAACTGCCTGGGCCGCATGGTGTATCTGGGCACGCCCTTCTACACCAAGCACTGGGACCGCCGCGCTGCGCTCACCATGGCCGCCACCATCGTGGGGCTGTCCGTGCTGGTGTTCGTGGTCATCGTGGGCGCGGTCGTGTCGGTGAAGTATGCCATCTTCCACGAGATCAACACCGCTGACCTCACTGGAGGAGAGGTCAGCTCCGCACCCCACCGACCCCTCTCTCCCCCTGCCTACCTGCCTGAACGCCTCACTGCCTGTCTTCCTGCCGCCTGCCTGCCTACGTCTTCTGCCGCATCCATCCCATTCTGCCTGGCAAGCTGTATTCCACACTCACTCAATCCTCCCTGTCCTCGCCCTGCCCCCTCCCCTTCTCCTCTGCACCTCAACGCCTCGCTGCTCTTGTGTGCTCCATGGCTGCAGCTCACATTCTGGGTGACGGTGGCGCTGGTATCGGTGGCGGTGGTGGTGTACAACACGTTGAGCAGCAAGCGCTACAGCGACGGCAACGTGTACTTCACGGAGAAGAAGGCGTGGAGCCCTGCCATGAGCGCACTCGTGCTCAACGCCGGCAAGCTCGATGAGGCCGCCCTCGCGCTCTCAACGGAGCCCCTCGTGCGCGCCTACCTCATGCCGCAGGTCAAGGTGCGCCTACCTCATGCCGCAGGTCAAGGTGCGCCTACCTCATGCCGCAGGTCAAGGCGCGCCTACCTCATGCCGCAGGTCAAGGCGCGCCTACCTCATGCCGCAGGTCAAGGCGCGCCTACCTCATGCCGCAGGTCAAGGCGCGCCTACCTCATGCCGCAGGTCAAGGCGCGCCTACCTCATGCCGCAGGTCAAGGCGCGCCTACCTCATGCCGCAGGTCAAGGCGCGCCTACCTCATGCCGCAGGTCAAGGTGCGCCTACCTCATGCCGCAGGTCAAGGTGCGCCTACCTCATGCCGCAGGTCAAGGTGCGCCTACCTCATGCCGCAGGTCAAGGTGCGCCTACCTCATGCCGCAGGTCAAGGTGCGCCTACCTCATGCCGCAGGTCAAGGTGCGCCTACCTCATGCCGCAGGTCAAGGTGCGCCTACCTCATGCCGCAGGTCAAGGTGCGCCTACCTCATGCCGCAGGTCAAGGTGCGCCTACCTCATGCCGCAGGTCAAGGTGCGCCTACCTCATGCCGCAGGTCAAGGTGCGCCTACCTCATGCCGCAGGTCAAGGTGCGCCTACCTCATGCCGCAGGTCAAGGTGCGCCTACCTCATGCCGCAGGTCAAGGTGCGCCTACCTCATGCCGCAGGTCAAGGTGCGCCTACCTCATGCCGCAGGTCAAGGTGCGCCTACCTCATGCCGCAGGTCAAGGTGCGCCTACCTCATGCCGCAGGTCAAGGTGCGCCTACCTCATGCCGCAGGTCAAGGCGCGCCTACCTCATGCCGCAGGTCAAGGCGCGCCTACCTCATGCCGCAGGTCAAGGCGCGCCTACCTCATGCCGCAGGTCAAGGCGCGCCTACCTCATGCCGCAGGTCAAGGCGCGCCTACCTCATGCCGCAGGTCAAGGCGCGCCTACCTCATGCCGCAGGTCAAGGCGCGCCTACCTCATGCCGCAGGTCAAGGTGCGCCTACCTCATGCCGCAGGTCAAGGTGCGCCTACCTCATGCCGCAGGTCAAGGTGCGCCTACCTCATGCCGCAGGTCAAGGTGCGCCTACCTCATGCCGCAGGTCAAGGTGCGCCTACCTCATGCCGCAGGTCAAGGTGCGCCTACCTCATGCCGCAGGTCAAGGTGCGCCTACCTCATGCCGCAGGTCAAGGTGCGCCTACCTCATGCCGCAGGTCAAGGTGCGCCTACCTCATGCCGCAGGTCAAGGCGCGCCTACCTCATGCCGCAGGTCAAGGTGCGCCTACCTCATGCCGCAGGTCAAGGTGCGCCTACCTCATGCCGCAGGTCAAGGTGCGCCTACCTCATGCCGCAGGTCAAGGCGCGCCTACCTCATGCCGCAGGTCAAGGCGCGCCTACCTCATGCCGCAGGTCAAGGTGCGCCTACCTCATGCCGCAGGTCAAGGTGCGCCTACCTCATGCCGCAGGTCAAGGCGCGCCTACCTCATGCCGCAGGTCAAGGCGCGCCTACCTCATGCCGCAGGTCAAGGCGCGCCTACCTCATGCCGCAGGTCAAGGTGCGCCTACCTCATGCCGCAGGTCAAGGTGCGCCTACCTCATGCCGCAGGTCAAGGTGCGCCTACCTCATGCCGCAGGTCAAGGTGCGCCTACCTCATGCCGCAGGTCAAGGTGCGCCTACCTCATGCCGCAGGTCAAGGTGCGCCTACCTCATGCCGCAGGTCAAGGCGCGCCTACCTCATGCCGCAGGTCAAGGCGCGCCTACCTCATGCCGCAGGTCAAGGCGCGCCTACCTCATGCCGCAGGTCAAGGCGCGCCTACCTCATGCCGCAGGTCAAGGCGCGCCTACCTCATGCCGCAGGTCAAGGCGCGCCTACCTCATGCCGCAGGTCAAGGCGCGCCTACCTCATGCCGCAGGTCAAGGTGCGCCTACCTCATGCCGCAGGTCAAGGTGCGCCTACCTCATGCCGCAGGTCAAGGTGCGCCTACCTCATGCCGCAGGTCAAGGTGCGCCTACCTCATGCCGCAGGTCAAGGTGCGCCTACCTCATGCCGCAGGTCAAGGTGCGCCTACCTCATGCCGCAGGTCAAGGTGCGCCTACCTCATGCCGCAGGTCAAGGTGCGCCTACCTCATGCCGCAGGTCAAGGTGCGCCTACCTCATGCCGCAGGTCAAGGCGCGCCTACCTCATGCCGCAGGTCAAGGTGCGCCTACCTCATGCCGCAGGTCAAGGTGCGCCTACCTCATGCCGCAGGTCAAGGTGCGCCTACCTCATGCCGCAGGTCAAGGCTGAAGGAATACTATGGAGAGCGTTACGACGGCGAGAGAGTTTCTGCTTGTGAGAATGGTGTTGCGCGAGGAATTCGGTAGCGTTTCGGTAGAGCTTGTCTCAAATGGCTAAGTGAGAACTTGAGTAGAGATTGTAATATTATTATGAATACAAAAGCAAACACACAAGATAGATATAGGCTACGGGGAAGTTGCACAAAGTTGCCGTGGCGCTGCGCAGTAACCCAACCCCACGAAACTGTCGTGTGGATGGGTGAACCGCGCCTCGGCCAATCCCAACCTGACTCAGCAGCGGGATGTTCCTTCTTACACGCCACCCCAACCAACCAACTCCAACTCGGCAACACCACCAATGACTCCCACAGACTTGTACTGCCCTGCACAAACTCCAACGACAAGTTCAGCAGTCACGCTTTGTCAATACGCGACCATCACCAATATTCCCATGTCGGTGGCGAAGGGCGTCAGTCTAGGTCGTCAATCTAGCAATCTGCCAAGTCGTCGAGGGCCCTTGCTGTCGTAGGGCCCTCTAACACTCCCCTGCCATACTACAGCAAGGCCCTTTATAATCACAGGGCATGCATACACACATACACACCAAAACAAAGGGAAACACACACAAACGAAGCACTCTCAAAGTGCAAACACGCACCGCACCAGCCATGGATAGGCCATGGCACCAACCACATCAAGGAGTGTCTAGGTCTCACTCCCCTCGCTCGAGAGCCTCACCTGCCCCACAGCCTCGAAGCAACGACTGAAGGCGGGGAAATGCAATGCCTTGGTAAGGTAGTCAGCAGGCTGCTCGCTCGTAGGGATGTACTGCAGCTGCAGCTTCCTGCGCTTGACCATGTGCTGCAGCCACATGTGACGACGCTCCATGTGCTTGAGGCTCCCCTTGAGCCCCATGCCACCTGCCACTGAAATGGCGGAGGAGTTGTCCACAAAGAGAGTAGTGGGAACCTCACTCCTCAGCAGTTGAAACTCTGCCAGCAGGAAGCGCAGCCTACGCGCCTCCTTCCCCGCCTCCACAGCAGCAACGTACTCAGACTCAGTGGAAGAGAGGGTGGCGCAACGAATCCTCTGGCTCGCCCACGAGACAGCAGCACCTCCGAGCACGAAGACATAGCCACCAGTGCTAGTCCTGTTCTGCTTGTCTCCCGCATCATCCGCATCGGCATAGCCCACCAGCTCCAAGGACTCAGGCCCACCACCAAACTCCAGCGCAACATCCCTGCTCCCCACCAAGTACGCCAAGCACCGGTCCAACTCCTTCCAGTGCTGGTCACTCCGCACAGTCTGGCCTGACCCCAGCTTGCTGCAGGCAAAGGAGATGTCGGGACGAGTGGTACAGGCTGCGAACTGCAAGGATCCCACCTTCTGCCTGTACTCCTCCTCCTGGCGAGACTGCCATCCCGCATCCTCAAAGGTCTGCACACTGAAAGGGTCAGAGGAAAGGGGGGTGCGAGGCACTCGCAGCGGCTGCTCCCCGTCGAAGAAGCGCCTATGGACCTTGTCCACGTAGGCCCCCTGGTGCAGCCACAGCCTCCTCGTAGGCCTGTCCCGAATCAGCTGCAGCCCCAGGTACTTCTCCACAGGGCTAATCTCCCGCAGCTGAAACGCACTCTGCAGCAGCTCACGTAGCTCCCCCAGCATGCTCTGACTGCGGCTGGCAGCAAGCAAATCATCCACATACACCAGCAGCCAGCACATCTCCCCGTCAGCATCACTCTTGAAGTACAAAGCCTCATCCACTTTGCTCTTCTTCCATCCAGCCCCAAGCAGCACCCCATCCAAGGCCTCATACCACAGCATCGGGCTTTGCTTGAGACCATACAGACTCTTCAACAACTTACAGACACGAGGAGTCCCATCCTCGTAGTAGCTCGGCTGCTCCATGTACAGGTCTCGGTCCAGCACGCCATGGAGGAACGCATTCTTCACATCTAGCTGCATCAGCTCCAAGTCAAGTGCAGCTGCGATCGCCAGAAGTACGCGCGCCGTCACATAGCTTCCCACAGGAGCGTACGTCTCCTCATAGTCCACCCCTGCCACCTGCGTGAACCCCTTCACCACCAGCCGCGCCTTCTCACGCTCCACTACCCCATCCGGTCGGAACTTGGTGTTCAGGATCCAGCGGTTCTTCATTACATTCACCCCTGGCGGACGCGGAACCAACTCCCACGTCCCCTGCTCAATCAAGCTCCGCATCTCCTCATCCATTGCCTCCTTCACCTTGTCGCCCTTCCAGCAGCCCAAGGCCTCCTTCACTGTCATCTTCGCTATATCCCACTGCCTCTCAGGGTCGGCCACCACGTCAGGATCCAGGTCCGTCCACTCCTCGTCCTCCTCCTCGTCATCCAATCCCGCTGGCTCAATCACTAAAGCCCAAGCATACTTAAGAGGCGGGATACCACGGGTGATGCGAGTGGAGCGACGCAGTGGCGCAGTGATCGTCCCAGAAGCCAACACACGACCACCATCTCTGATTCCCCACAGCTCCTGCTCCCCTGTCTGCGGCTCCCCTGTCTGCTGCTCCCCTAGCTGCTGGTCCACCATCTGCTGCTCCTCAATCTGCTCCTCCCCTATCTGCTGCTCCCCACTCTGCTGCTCCCCTAACTGCTGCTCCCCTATCTCCTGCCCCCCACTCTGCTGTACTCCATCCATGCTGCTCTCGTCCTGCAGCTGCTCAGTCTCAAGGCGCTGCCCGTCGGTGATCTCCACAGACGGTGGCACCATGTTCCCCCCCTCACCAACGGGCGGCGCCGTGGAAGATGAAGAGGAGGGTGGAGCAGGTGCAGGAGGGATGGAGGGTGGAAGGGGAGAGGGAATAACAGGAGGAGGAGGGGAAGCCAAGGGGGGTGAGGATGAAGAAGGTGGGGCAGGGGGAACCACACGAGGGTAAACTGAAGGCGGAGGTGGGGTGGGGACCGAGGTAGGGACATAGGGCATAGCAGGAGGTGCGACCACCTCCTCCTCCTCCACCGCCTCCTCAAGAGTGATCGGGAAGTGAGAGGGAAGGGGCTCATAGGGCATTGGACGCCCCCCATGCTCTTGCCGATGCCACGCCTTCCATCCTGCCAAGGACATGGTCTCATAGAACACAGCTTCCACAGTGGTGATGAGGCGGTTGGACTCCAAGTCCAGCACGGTCCAGCCCTTGCTCGCTGCGGACACCCCCAAGTGCAACCCCCAGCGAGCCTTAGGTGCCAGCTTCCCCCCACGCTGCGACTGAGGCACCATGTACTGCACCATGCAGCCCCATACCCGCACCATACTGACATCGGGTTTGTGTCCAAAGGCGAGCTCGTACGGCGTCACACCAGAGGGCAGCGAGGCGTGCTCCACGCGGTTGCGCACCCAGACGGCCTGCGCCAACGCCAGGTGCCACCAATGATGCTGTACACCCATGTGCAGTAGCATCGTCCGCACCGCCTCCACAATGCTGCGCATCTCCCTCTCGGCCATCCCGTTCTGCTCCGGCGTGTACGGGCACGTGAGGTCATGGATGATGCCTTTGCCGTCGAGGAAGAGCGTGAAGTCATGCCCCAGGAACTCGCCACCCCGATCAGTGCGCAGCGCCTGCACCGTGGTCTTGCACTGCCGCTCTGCCATCGGGAGCCACTTCTGAAACGCCGCCAGCGCATCACTCTTCTGAGCCAAAGGGTAGGCCCAGACGTACCGCGACTTGCGATCCTTCAGCACCAGGAAGTAGCGGCTGCCGTCCTTAGCTGTTTCACGGAAAGGGCCACACAGGTCAGCATGCACCACCCCAAGCAACTCATCCTCCTCCGCACCCACTGGCGGGAAGGTATGACGAGTGATCTTCCCCCCAACACAGGAGACACACGGTATGCCTGATTTGCCCCCCTTCTCCAGGTCCAAGCCCTTCACTGACCCGTGAGACGCAGTGCGCTCGATGGCATCAATACCAACGTGTGCCATACGCGCATGCCACATGTCCACCTTAGACCGCACGCCCGTCGTCAAGGTACGAAGTGCCACCGTTTCGCCTTCCTGCTGCTGCGACAAACACGGTTGGAAGTTCGTGCAGAGAACACGCCCCTTGTACTCTGCACGCCCAAGAAGTGACCCATCTGGTGCCCGCAGCAGAGTCACGTCGCCTGCATCCAGCAGTTGCACACCACTATCACGCAGCTGCCCAGCAGAAAGAAGACTCGCCTGCACTCCAGGTACGTACAGCACGTCAGACACCAAGAGACGCCTGCCCCCTTCTCCAAGAAGAGCGACTGTGCCTCGCCCCTGCACGTCCTGAAGCGCGCCGTTGAAGCCTTTCACTTGTTTGATACTACCGCCGCTGCTCATCTCCACAAAGGCAGAACGATCTCCCATGAGATGGTGGGAGCATCCACTATCAAGTAGCACGACGCTCGGGTTCGCCTTCACAGCAGCTGCAAGAGCCTGTAAGCCCTCCCCGGCCTCAGGCTCCAGCACGACAAGAGGAGTCTGCTCTACAACGGGCTTCACCATCGCACATGATGACTGCCTGCTCCCCTTAGAGCCATCGTCCCCCTTGCCACTCGCGCCGCTGCCTCCAGAACCCTCTCCACCCGTGTCTGCCTCCTTATCCGCCCGCTGCTGACAGTACTTAGCAACATGCCCTGTCTGTCCACACACGTAGCACTTCCCCTTGAAGCCACCTTTCCCCCCCTTTGGCTGACCATCCTTAGCCCCTTTCCACTTCTCTCCTCCACCTCCAACCCCACCCCCAGTCTTAGGCTGCTGCTGCTGTGCCGTAGTGGGAGGGGAAGGGGATGAAGTCTGCTGGGATTGGGGCTTACCCTTCTTGGTAAAGACCTGGTTGGCCTGGGGAAGAAATTGGTCCTTCCGTCCCTCCGCTGCCAGCGTACACTCCTCCTCGATAATGTAGCTAGCGAGGGTGTCCTCGTCCAACTCCTTGCGTACCTGCGGCAGCTTCAGCATCCTGCGTAAGAGGTTGTACTGTTGTGGCAACCCCTTCACGACATGAGTAATGTAAGACGCCTGCGAATAATCTACGCCGGCCATCCTCAAGTTCACTAGGATCTGCTGTGCACGGTTGCAATAGGATGTGGCGGACTCGTGCTCTCCCATCTCGAGGTTAGTGAGCGCTTGCTCTAACTGACCTATATACAGGTCGTCTTTCGCTTGATACGTGCGCATGATAAACTGCCACGCGTGGAAGCCGGCATCTACCTTCATGCGACACGCCTTAAGGGCGATCTGTACGGTTGGGGAGCAGCATCGGGAAATCGTGGTGAACGTTAGTAACTGCATGGCGCGAAACTGTGTGAGAAGCACCACTGCGTGTGCTGGGGGAATAGGAGTGGTACCGTCGATGAAACGCTTTAGCTGAGCGATCTCAAGCTGCGGCTCGATCGATTCTACCCATGTCGACAGGTCGTGGCGTCCTTCGAGTGGCCTAGGCACGACGATTTTGTCTGGAGTGAATTTGAAGAAGCCATAGTTGGGGGCTATTCCCTCGTCCCTCGACATCGATCCAATCGGGGTAATGCCTGGCATAGCTCCACTATCGTACTCCTCCGCATTCCCTCCTCCAGCAACGCTCTGTCGTCCTACGTTCGCACGCTCGTGTGACGCCGCTGCGCGATGAACACGCTCCTGTATACCACCGACGCTAGCCGTACTAAACCGAGTCGTTCCTCGCAGGACCCCACGCGACACCAACCCATCAAACTCCTCGTCATCGCCATCTCCGCCATCAACAGCCATATCCCACGCACTAGTTCCTCCCGCGGCTTGCTCTACACGTGGCGAGGGACGATCGCGACGCTGACGAGCGCGTATTCCCTCCAACATGAGCTCGTAATCTTCACTACTAAGCTCGCCACGGGAACGACGTGCCACGAGCTCCTCCTCTAGTGCGCGAAAATTAACGGCCTCAACGTCCGCCTCCTCCGAACTCATCCTCTACGACGCCTCGATAAGGTGCCACAAATTAAAATAAATTGTTCCTTCCTTAAATCCCTCGTCTCGGGGTCACCTCACAAGGGTCCTCAGACGAGTGGTAATAAATTACCAAACGCCCTATCCTTGGGTCCGAGAACGTAACTGGAGGGAAATTAAGAGAGGTTCAACTTAATTTAATATGCGCCCTTCACTAACGCCGCACGCCAAGGCGAGTTTACGAACGCTAAGAAAGTCGACGACGGAATTCTATGCGTGTTCGTTCCACGCTCACCGCACCATGAAGGAATACTATGGAGAGCGTTACGACGGCGAGAGAGTTTCTGCTTGTGAGAATGGTGTTGCGCGAGGAATTCGGTAGCGTTTCGGTAGAGCTTGTCTCAAATGGCTAAGTGAGAACTTGAGTAGAGATTGTAATATTATTATGAATACAAAAGCAAACACACAAGATAGATATAGGCTACGGGGAAGTTGCACAAAGTTGCCGTGGCGCTGCGCAGTAACCCAACCCCACGAAACTGTCGTGTGGATGGGTGAACCGCGCCTCGGCCAATCCCAACCTGACTCAGCAGCGGGATGTTCCTTCTTACACGCCACCCCAACCAACCAACTCCAACTCGGCAACACCACCAATGACTCCCACAGACTTGTACTGCCCTGCACAAACTCCAACGACAAGTTCAGCAGTCACGCTTTGTCAATACGCGACCATCACCAATATTCCCATGTCGGTGGCGAAGGGCGTCAGTCTAGGTCGTCAATCTAGCAATCTGCCAAGTCGTCGAGGGCCCTTGCTGTCGTAGGGCCCTCTAACAAAGGCGCGCCTACCTCATGCCGCAGGTCAAGGCGCGCCTACCTCATGCCGCAGGTCAAGGTGCGCCTACCTCATGCCGCAGGTCAAGGTGCGCCTACCTCATGCCGCAGGTCAAGGCGCGCCTACCTCATGCCGCAGGTCAAGGCGCGCCTACCTCATGCCGCAGGTCAAGGCGCGCCTACCTCATGCCGCAGGTCAAGGTGCGCCTACCTCATGCCGCAGGTCAAGGTGCGCCTACCTCATGCCGCAGGTCAAGGTGCGCCTACCTCATTCTTGCAGTCAAAACGCCATGCTCGCTCCCCTCCACCACCACCACCTCTTCCCTCCACCACATTCCGTGTCCCCCCACTCTTCCCTCCACCCATCCCCCATCCCCTCAATCCTCCATTCGTCACACCCCATCCCCGTGTTCCCCAGACCATGCTGACGCCCGACCCATGGCGCATGCTGAGGCCATTCCCCGCCAAGACGTGGCTGGTGTCCCTGGCGAACCTCTACAACAACTGCTGGGTTGCGCTGTGGACGCTGGTGCTGGCGGTGCCGTACACCATCCTGTGGCTGCTCAACTTCCTCCTCGTGCCCTACTTCTGTAACCAGCTGCTGCGCCTCTTCATCACCCTCGGCTTCGGCCTGCAGAAGGTATGCCCCCCCCACCACTCCACCACGCCGCCACACTGCCTGCACAAGGTAGATCCCCCACCATGCGCCATGCACCATGCACCATGCACCATGCACCATACACCATGCACCATGCACCATGCACCATGCACCATGCACCATGCACCATGCACCATGCACCATGCACCATGCACCATGCACCATGCCTGCGCCGTGCGCCGTGCACCTTCCAGCATGTGCACACGCATGTTAGCATGGAAGGTATGTTGAGGTGAGGGCGGACTTGCACTCGCTCTCTGCCATTCCTCTTCTCTCCCTTGCCTCACCTACGCTTCCTTCCTTCCTTCCTTTCCGTGCGTCTGTGCTGCTGTGCTGTGCTGTGCCATGACCATGGCATGGCATGGGGCCACAGAACGAGTTGGACTGCGCGCAGGTGTACGTGGAGGAGTGGCTGCGCCTACCCCCCGCCACGCACAGCATAGCGCATTGGAACGTACAGAAGATCCTCACTGCTGCCACGCTCGACCAGCTCAAAGACCTCCGCAAGCGATGTGAGCGCCCCTCCCCTCCCTTTTCGCACACCCCCCTCCCTTCCCCCCTCCTCGCGCCTCCTCAAGCCCGTGCCCTTCCCCCCTCTGCTTTCGGCCTTGTCACACTCCATCCCTCTCCACGCCCTGCCTTGCTGTCACTTCTCCTACACCCCATGCGCCCTCACCCCCATTCCCCTCCCGTTCTCCCTCCTTCCCTCCCCTCTCCTCCCCTGTGTGCGGCATGGTGACAGCGGTGATAGCGGGGGAGGCGGCGGCAACGGAGGAGGCGCTGATGGAGGCGCACACGCAGCTCGTGGACCCCCACGCCATCGCCCAGCGCTGGCGCTTCCTCTGGGTGCGTGCTGTGCTGTGCTGTGCTGTGCTGTGCTGTGCTGTGCTGTGCTGTGCTGTGCTGTGCTGTGCTGCCCGCCCTCTGCACGCCTGCTGCCGCCCTCTCCCATGCATGCGTGTGCGCTAAGGAAGTGTGCAACCAAGAATGTGGGTGTGCCTCCACCCCCCGCCCGCCTGCTGCCCCACCCTGCATGTCTGCTCTCCCGTGCAGGCGTGTGCACTAAGGATGCGTGCGTTGCTTTCGTGTGTGCACCCAAGAACGTGGGCGTGCATGTGCCCTCATCGTCACTGCACTCCACCCCACCACTTCCCCTGCTCATGCCTCTTTTGTGCCATGCGTGCCGTGCATGGCATGGCATGGCATGGCATGGTATGCAGGACGATGCGGAGTTGGAGAGGAAGGCGGAGGAGTCAACGACGCTGGCGCTGCTGAAGAACCAAGTGGATAAGATGGCGCACAACCCCCGCATCTCCAGGTGCCCTTCATACCCTGCACCTCACTGCCACACACATGCCTCCCCCACGCGCTGCATGCACACACCCGTGCCACATCCCCTTCGCCACCTCACCCGTGCCCCGCTTGTTCCCCCTCCCCCTCCCCCTCCTCCCGTGCCTTACCCCCCATGCAGAGTGGCATATGAGCGCAAGTTGAAGGTGGTGTGTGTGACCTTAGAGGAGCGGTACAAGGACATGACGGGCAACGTGGAGCTCTCACCTGTACCCCTCTTGTTACCCGCCCGCTTCCTCCCCGTCCCCTCTCTCCCCTGTCTCCCCCCCGCGCAGAGTGGCATTCGAGCGCGAGTTGAAGGTGGTGTGTGTGACACTGGAGGAGCGCTACAAGGACATGACGGGGAACGTGGAGCTGTCGCACGGCAGCTACTTCCGCAACCACGTGGTCATCGCTGTCATCGCGCACTTCCTCGCACACGGAGAGGTACCCTCCTGGGCGCCGCAGCTGGGCGAGATGACGCCGCCCGCTGAGAAGCCCGCCAAAAAGGGCCCCATGTCGCGCCTCTTCAGCCGCCGCATCACGCCCACTACTGATGACCTCAACAGCACCCCCTCGCAATAACACCGGCACCTGCGGGGGCTGCATGCAAGCTCCCCTCTATACACATACGGCAGTGGTAACAGCACACTGCAGGGACTCGGGTGGAATGCTTTAGGTGCGAGTGCTGTCAGCTGGGGCTAACACAAGCTGGCAATTCAGGCTGGCACATGTTTTTTCTCAAGCATAGGCACACGTTCACCCTAAACATCTGCATGGTAGGGCTCGGAAGGCCACTCTGCATGGCCAATGGCCCAGTATTTAGGTAAGCACTCTGTATGTATATTAATGCTAAAAAACTGCAAGGCCCAAGCCATTTGCGTAGGTGTGTCCCACAGAATGAAGGATGAAATGAGAAGCTATGCAAGGCAATGAGAGGCCTCGACTCGATAGTACCTGCATGCAAGCTCATGATTACCAAGAAACACAAGTACAGCAAGCTCTGCTGTTCACTGGAACGAGGCACAATAACCCTCAGCAGCAGGCAAGGCATGGGGTGTCATGCCATGGTGTGTAACTAGACCTCTGCCATACCCATGCACCACGCCCCTGTCGTATCCCTGTTTCAGCTTCACCCACACCCTCCACTTCAGCCTCCGGCCGCGCCACAGCCTCAGCTTCTGCCCGACCCCAGCCTCGACTACTGCAGCAATAGTAAGGGTGCCCCGGCGTGTCAACTAGCCGAGGCAGTGGCGGGGGAGGCGGAGAGGGAGGAGGCAGAGGAGGCGGAGGAGGAGGAGGGGGAGACGCCGAACTGGGAGTGGAAGTCGGCGTCAGTGAGCCCGACGATGTGCTGGATGCACACGGCGTGCGACCCAAACGTCTGCAGGATCTCGTGGTGCGACCGCCCGAACTTGCGCAGGCGCCGCTCGTTGTCCGTCGTGATCACCTCGTCGTGCGCGCGGATCTGGTACCCCGCCGCCAGCAGCACCGCGCAGCGCGGGCGGATGCGCGAGTCCAGCGAGTAGCCCAGGTACGCGGGGAAGTTGAGCACCTCGAAACGGTCCAGTCCCAGCTCTTCGAGGAAGCGGAACTTGGGCAGCAGCACCTTCTCCCAGCTCAGCGTCAGCGCCTGCGGAAACGCGTTCACCAGCTTGTCTGTCGCGGCGGGGTCGAGGAACATCTCGAGGCGCGAGTACTGGCGCATGAGGCGCTTGGTGTCGATGGTGAGCAGCCCGGGCGCGACTTTAAAGACGTTGGAGAGGCGGTGCTTGTGGAAGATGGAGGCGAGGTACTGGATGCGCTGCACGATGGCGTCGCGCGACATCAGCAGCACCAGCGGCTTCTTCAGCAGCACATCGGCCACCTGCTCGGGCGCGATGAATTGCTTCAGCACCTCCACCGTCTCCGTGATCTGCGCCTGCGACAGCCCAAGCACGCGCGGCTGGCGCTCGATCATGCGATATATGTCGCGGCCCTCGCCGACAATGTACTGCAGCTTCGCGAGCGACGGCGTGATCTCGCTCTCGCTGAGCTCCATGATGCGCGGGAAGCGCAGCAGCACGCGGTGCACCTTGTCGCGCTCCACGCCCAGCGACTCGAGGTACGCGACCATGTCGTAGATGCGCTGCACGGGGCTGTGCAGCCAGCGCGGCTCGCGCACGAGCGACGAGGCGACCTCGCCGAGCGAGGAACCGAGGTCGAGCAGCACGCGCAGGCGCGCGAGGATGTCGACGACGCTCAGCTGCAGCACGTCCGGGTCGCTCGATATTGCCTGCGCCACCTGCTGCTTGCCCAGCCCCAGCGCCAGCAGCAGCCGCACCACCTTGGTCTCCCGCGAGTCGCATTTCCGGTCGAGCATGGCTACAGTGTCGTCCACGAGCCCCACGCTGATGGACCGCAGCTGCGGCCATTCCGCGTCCACCGACTCGAAATGCTCCGACGATTCCTGATTCTCCGACGCATTTTCTAACGACGCGCCGCTGTTTGACGCGCGGGGAACAAATGTTCGCGACGCCGACGAGTGAAGGCTAAGCCTTTGCAAGCCACGCTCTATCAGCGAAACCCCGGCCACTCGCGAGCCTTGCGACTGACCGAAAGACGCAGTTACTGAAAAATTTTCTTGCAATAATGACGAGCCTACACTTGCTATTGAGTGAGCCAAGTGCGCTTCCGCAGCCATGGCTCCTCCTAGCAGTCAGACCAAGGACGGGACTAGGTCTTGTGACCCTAGAAAGGAGAGGGAGGGAGAGTTAGTCGGAGTGTAGGTTTAGGGAGGAGCAGAGGGCGGAGGGGGTGGTGAAGGGGAGGGAGATGGAGGAGGGAGGGGGCAGTTCCCAAGGGAGCCTGCTTTCAAATCTGTCTGTCTACAAACGAGGGATTTCGATTTGAAGTTTCAAAATAATGACGCTTCCGCAATAATGCGAAACAAACGTTTATCCACAATAATACGAACAAAACCTGCACTACAATTATCAAAATGAGCCTGCTGATGTGGCTAAAAACGTTTCCGAGGCTCCACGTGGAGTCCCATCGGATTTGGCAATCGCCAAAAATATTGCGCTGAGCGCGGCAACCTGTCAGGCAAGCCAAGCGCATTTCTCCCAAGCGAATCCCACCAGTGCCACCACCTTGTCAAGTCCCAAACCAAGGCCAGGGAGGGGTAACAAGCAGATCGTGAATCCTGAATCACAAATTGCCGTCGCCAGGAAGCTAACTAGCTAGACCAGCACCGATCTGCTCGCATCACTGTCACGTCGCTCACAAGCAGCTAGTAAGCAACAATTAAATCCGCGCCACAACAAAACTTCTTTAGAACCGCGGCGTAGAACTCGCAACAATGCAGAGTGTGATGAAGCTCGATGCGACGCGTCAAATTCCACGTCTTGGCTTGGCGCAGCCGCTAACGAGACAACCATGTCGAGCGGATCGCGTGAGATCGCTCGTCAGTAAAATGCCAGCTGGGCTTAAGGCCGCGACAACGAGCGAACATCGAGTCACGATGGCACTGCCGGCCGCGCATGCCTCGGCTGCTCTGGCTCTCCTCCAACCAGGTGGGCGGCCCCATTCCCTCTGATTTTCTGCAAACCAACCAGATGGCTCATCTCTTCGTTGTCTCGTACCGCCACTCGCTTCCCGCCTCTCCCAATCCCTCGCTCGGTTTTGATTCGTCTCAGCTTCGCCTTCTCCTTACATGCCCTCCTGTTGGCCCGTCTCGCGTGCCCTGCGCTGCAGACATGGCTCGAGCTTCAGAGGATGTGTCGTTGCCGCTAGCATTGCTCAACCCCGCCTATGACATGGTGAGTGCGTAGGCCGCTGGCCTGGGGTCCATGCCTCTCATACTCTCGTTCTTGGTCGAGATCGCGGGCCGGTGCGTTTGCTTTCGTTTTCCTCGACCGGAAATCATCCTTTGTGAGCATGCCCGGCGCCCCTCCCGTGTCCCCCGGTGCGCGGCGCGGCGGAGCAGGTGGCGGAGGCGGCGCCGCTGGAGTTTAGCGTGCTGTTCCTCTACCTGGGCGGGCTGCTGGCGCTGCTGGGCTTCGGCACGTTCCTCGTCGTGCGGCAGGTGCTCGTCAAGCGCGAACTCGAAAACGCCGCCAAGGAGCTCCAGGTGAGGCGACGCCGGGAGATGCGCGTGAGGAAGAAGGGGGAAAAAGGGTATGGGATGAGGCGAGGCTAGAATGCCATTCACACTGGCTAAGGGAATGCGACGAAAATTAATGGCGGGGAAGGACAAGCGAGTCGGAGGATGGGACATGCCAGCAAGGACACACTGGGCTACAGAACAAGATGAAATTCCCACATCACAGGAATCAAAGGCCTTGGAGTCGAACCTGCCGACTTGATTCCTCTCCTCCCCTTCCCGCGTGTGCGTGGTTGCGGCAGGATCGGGTGCGGTCGGGCGAGGCGACGAGCGAGGAGTACTTCGAGCTGGGCGCCATCATGCTGCGCAAAAAGTTCTTCGCCGTCGCCAACAAGTACCTCGAACTCGCCATCGCCAAGTGGGAGGGCGACGAACAGGAACTCGCGCAGGTGCCACGCGGGGTGGGGGGTGGGAGGGTGTGGGGGACGGAGGGAGGGGGCGGGTGGGGACCATGGATGGCATACCTGATGAGTATGCAAGCATGGCGTGGCACGTCTACAAGCATGGGCATGCGGGCTAATGGATGCAGACATGCACACGCACGCATGCACACGCACGCATGTACATGCTCATGCAAGCATGCACACACACTCACACACACACACACACACACACACACACACACACACACACACGCACGCCTCCCCCACTTTCTTCCCCCCTTTCTCACGCACCATTTATGAAGAGATTAATGGAAAGCACATGCACACGAACATATGCCCCTGCACACGCAGCCCCACTGCCCGTTCAACCCACCCTCCCAGCCATGCGCCTCCAATTTACCTCACTACATAAACCTCGTGCTTAAAGGCGCGCCTGTCTGCTCTGCTATTCACATGTTCCACGCCTTGCCCACCCTTCTGCTGCCCTGCCTCCACTCCCTGCTGCCCTGGCCCCGCCCTCCCCCTCCTGCCCTGTGGAATGTGGTGGGAGCAGGTGTACAACGCGCTGGGGTTCAGCTACTTCAGCGAGGAGAAGCTCAAGGAGGCGGTGAAGGCATATGAGAAGGCCGTCAGCCTGCAGCCCGCGTACGTGACGGCGTGGAACAACCTGGGGGACGCATTGGAGAGACAGAAGGAGTGGGCGCGCGCCCTCAAGGCGTACGACACGGCACTGGTCTACGACCCCTCCAACCGCATTGCTGCTGGCCGCGCCAAGGACCTCAAGCAGCGCGTCGACCGGCTACGCTACTGATGCCCCGCCTCTCCCTCAGCTGCACACTGTGTCACCTGCCTCTGAATAAAACACTTGTTTTACAAGAAGAGGTGTGAAAATGGAGGAGTCAAGGAAACCCCGCTGTGCTCTAGTGTTTTGGAAGTGTCAGCTTCCTGAGTTTTTTGTTGTGAGCTAGGCCCTGCTTGTAGCATTGCATCTGGTGTTCAATGCACCATGATCAGCTGTAACCTCTGCATGGATTGGGAGGAGCAAACCGTGTGTTTGAATCCTCACTAATCCGGAACTGATGCCAATCCTCCATGCCAAAATCGTGTCACCCTCACTGTGGCACAAGGTTCATTGCACTGTTGCAGCTTTACGTCGTCTCATCAATCCCTGATGAGACACATGGCAGTAAGCCAACAAATGAAGGCCCATACCGAGTTTCTTTGGATAGCTGGCGCCAGGGGCTTTTAGGTTTGTCACCGTTTAAGAAATACCAACCCAAAATCCTGCTCGAGTGATATACGGTAGTTTGGAGTTGCACGTGAGAGCCTGCCTTAGGATGAAAATAGTTTGGAGCACTATCCCCCAACCTTTATGTATTACAGCATAAAAATAGGGTTCTTTTTTCACATTACAGTTGGCGTGTGATTGAAGTATGATATCGCCAAACCGCCGCCCTCCTGGGGTTGACGGCGTCGCCCACGCCATTTTCCTCGCAAGCCAGACCTGTGGGGGCAAACATCCAAGGCTGCGCTCAACGAATGGATGTGAAGCGTTTTCGTTCGGTGGGGCCAAGCCTATTCAGACTGCAAAAACCAACCAGGCCGCAAAAGGACCTTCGGCGTCCCACCAACCAATAGTGGTCGCACGCATGGCGCCTCCCCAAACCCCCCAGCCAAGAGAGCCGCCAAATCCCATCGCCCCCGTCCACCCACCAGCACTGTAGCACGCCTCGCCCCTCCCTTTCCGTCCACAAGTGCGCGCAGGTCTTTGACCGCCACGTCCGCCTACCCGCCAAACCACTCACCGCCAATCGCAACTTGATTCTCAACTCTCCACACTCGCGTCTCTCCAATTCGCCCCTCTCCTCATTCCATACCATTCCATCTGCTCCACTCGTTCCAGGTTCCTTCCTCCAGCAATCCAACGGAATCCACCATCATGCACCAGCCCTGAGTGTGAGCTGTTGCTGCCTCGTAGGCACTCAATGATTCATCCCCTTCGCACGCAGCATTCTTTCCCATAGTTGCTACTAGATTTGGCAAGGAAAAATCATGGCCGACCCGCCCAGTAGTTCCGGAGGCGATACGGTAGTTACTGTAGAAGATGCGCTCCCCCCCAGTGCCACAGCCCCTCCCCCCGACGCAGCGGCCGCGCCCGACGCCGAATTCCCCGCGATGGCGGAGTCACCGCAAGCTGCGCACAACGAATCCCGCCCGAGGTGCGGGTGCACGCCGCCATGCGGGAACGCGGACTGCGACCGCATGCTGTGTCTGCCGGGCGACCCGAAGCAGCATCACCGATGGCGGTGGGCGCTGGCGGGCATTCTGCTGCTGTTCGTCGTCGGCGTCGCCACGCTCGTCGCGCTGCTCTTCACCCTCAAGCCCTCCTCCTCCTCGCCCTCGCCCTCCCCCGCCTCCCCCTCTGCCTCTTCCTCCGAACTCAACGCGTCCGCCGTACCCATACCGCTACAACCCAAGGATCCCATCATTTCTCACAACCAATCCGCCTCCCCGCCAGGCAATTCTTCTCTTCCCGCCCCCGCCCCCGCCCCCGCGCCCGCCCCCGCGATCCCACCGGCTCCCGCGGACGAACCCATCCCCATGCCCGAGCTGTCGACGCTCTCGCGCCCGTCGCAGGCGCGATTCGAGGGGCGGGAGTCGGAGTGGAGTCAGTTCAACTGGACGGTGCTGTACGAGCAGACGCAGACGGATCGATACCACACGTGCGACAACCAAGGTAGGGCGCGCGACGAGCGACACTCAAGGTTGGGCGAACGACGTGCGACATTCAAGGTGTGAGCGAGCGACGTGCGGGACGCAAGTAGAACGAGGAGACGAGTTAAATGTAAGGAATGGTGCGCAAAGCAAGTCGGGAATGGAGCGCAAAGCAAGTCGGGAATGGAGCGCAAAGCAAGTCGGGAATGGTGCGCAAAGCAAGTCGGGAATGGTGCGCAAAGCAAGTCGGGAATGGTGCGCAAAGCAAGTCGGGAATGGTGCGCAAAGCAAGTCGGGAATGGTGCGCAAAGCAAGTCGGGAATGGTGCGCAAAGCAAGTCGGGAATGGTGCGCAAAGCAAGTCGGGAATGGTGCGCAAAGCAAGTCGGGAATGGTGCGCAAAGCAAGTCGGGAATGGTGCGCAAAGCAAGTCGGGAATGGGCTTAATCGCACTCGAAGGCGAGATCCATGGCCGATTGAAATAGGAAAGGTCGATGGTGATTGACATGCGCGGCGTGGGTGTGTGGTGCGTGCGTGCGTGCAGGGTTCGACTACGTGTACGTGCGACCCAACTTCACCGCCACCACGTGGAGGGGCTGGGGCACCTCGCTCGCATGGTGAGACACGGTGATGCATGGTGAGACACGGTGATGCATGGTGAGACATGGCGATGCATGGTGAGACATGGCGATGCATGGTGAGACACGGTGATGCATGGTGAGACATGGCGATGCATGGTGAGACACGGTGATGCATGGTGAGACATGGCGATGCATGGTGAGACACGGTGATGCATGGTGAGACATGGCGATGCATGGTGAGACACGGTGATGCATGGTGAGACACAGTGATGCATGGTGAGACACAGTGATGCATGGTGAGACACAGTGATGCATAGTGAGACATGGCGATGCATGGTGAGACATGGCGATGCATGGTGAAACATGGCGATGTATGGTGAGACATGGGGGTGCATGGTGAGACATGGCGATGCATGGTGATAAACCATGGTGAGACATGGCAATGCATGGTGAGGCATGGGAGTGATGAACATATCAACATTTCTCCCAACGAACTTCCCTCCAGCAAATTCTTCCCTGAACCCTCACTGACCAGGGGGAATGATGAATATATCAAATGTCTTTCATTCTCCTCGCCCATCCCTTTTCGTCCACCCTCATCCACCCATACCCACTCCTCCCCTCCTCCCCCTCCCCCTCCCGCGCGTGCAGGTGGGCGAACAGGGCGGGGCAGCTACCGGAGTGGTGCATGGGGCGGCTGGTGGAGCTGGTGTTCCACGCGGACAGGGGGCTGGGGCTCTCCATGGCGCGCTACGCCATCCCGGGCGGCTTCAACGCCATGTTCTCCCCGGCCATCGCGCGCACCAAGTACCCCATGCACGCCTTCAAGGCCGGCCCCCTCGCGCCCTACAACTGGTCCGCGGACGCGGGGCAGCGCAAGGTGATGCTGGCGGCGAAGCAGCTGGGCGTGCAGCACTTCGAGGCCATCTCGTACTCGCCGCCCTGGTGGATGACTATCAGCGGGGACACGGCAGGCAACGAAGACGGGCGCCCCAACATACGGCCGGAGCAGCGCGGGGCGTTTGTGCAATACCTGGTGGACGTGGTGCAGCAGTACCGGTCCGACCCCGCGTGGAACATCACCTTCCAGCACATCAACCCCTTCAACGAGGCGCTGGAAGGCTGGTGGCGCGCGGGCCGGGACCGCGAGGGGTGCTCGGTGAGTGTGAACGACGTGGACGTGGTGGTGGCTCTGCTGGCCGACGCACTGCAGGCCAGTGGGCTGCCGACGCGCATCTCGGTGGCGGACTCGTGGGTGGCGTACACGCTGCGCAGCATCAAGTCGGACACGGAGGGGCTGCGGCCCGAGACGTGGGAGAAGGTAGACCACATCTGCGTGCATGGGTACCAGTCGAAGCACTTCCCTGAGTCGTGGCAGATCGGGCTGCAGTACACGGACATGCGCGAGACAGCGGCGAGCATTGGCAAGGAGGTGTGGCAGTCAGAGTGGGGGCCTATTGACACGGCGGGCACGGACCTGCAGCTGGCCATGTACATGGCACGCACGGTCACGGAGCACATCAACATCATGGGCGTTGCCGCCTGGTACTACTGGATGGCCGTGGAACCAAACATCCACGGGTGGGGACTCATTCGGTTCAAGGGGGATTGCGGAGAGAGTGTGGACAGCATGAACATGACGTTCAGCAAGCAGTACTACGTGATGAAGCACTTCACTCGCGCTGTGCCCCCGGGGGCACGCATCGTGGACATGGAGAAGAAGTGCGAGCATGGCGTGGTGGTGGCGTACAGCCCGCAGCACAGGCGTCTGGCTATCCTGGTGACCAACCAGTCGTTCAAAGACTTCCTGCTCACCCTCAGACTGCTTGACTTCCTCCCTGCGGACCCGTCTGTGCCCGTGTTGGTGCACGTGCACCGCACGTCAGTGAAGGAGGACTATGAGATGATCGACCAGATGAACGTTCAGGTGCCGGGTAACGCCACCACCTTATCCACTGACATCACCATTAATGCCGTCCCCATCTCCCTCACCAGCATCACGCTCTATGAAGTTGTTCCAAAACCAGACATCGAGATCAAGCAAGCGGTGTAGTTATTCTCCACATGTTTTTTAAAGCGAACATGTATATGACGTGGCTCATGCCTTGTGAGCTAGTTAATAGGCTTAGGTGTTTTGGTGACCATATATTTAGGTATGCCCGAATGGAAGCTATTGCTCAATAAAATGTTTATGAAAGTTATGTGTAAACTTTATTAGCTTGGAAGTTCTAATACACTTCGTTAATCTGGACTGAACAGAGCCATGGATTATTACCGGGACGAAGGGCTCACACAAGATGCCAACAACGAATCGTGACCAGAATGTGGTTGTTTTCGCGGCAAGAATCCATGAATGGAGCACGATTTCGACACGCGGCGAATTGCACTGGTTACAGGCGATACATTGGGCCAATAGAAGCGCAGCGCTGAGAGTAATGGGCACTGTCAGCTGTCGCGCTGACTAGGCAAGGAAGCAGGCCACCTTGTGCGTGCGCCCGTCCAGGGCTTGCGCGTGCGAGAAAGGATGCGCGATCGCAAACACCAGCCTTCGCACGGGTGATCGTGGCGGGGATGCGAAGGGTGGAGGGAAATCAGACGGTTTGAGGGGGGGATAACTGCGGGATGGACACAGCTAGCGGGAAGACGACCGGCGACCGAGACGAAATCCACTTGGGCGCAACCAATTGCGCGGGCAGCAGGGAAGCCAGCATATAGCGATAACTCGAGCCCATTTGATGCACGCGACAAGAGTGGCGTTTTGACAGTGACCATCAACAACCCTTTTATGCTTTCTGTTTTGAGTCGCTATAGTTGAATCCGCTGCTTCTGATCGAGAGGTCGCAGCGCTCACCTACACAAGGTCTAACCACCGTCTCGTCACATAGTCGAAACGACGAAATTCTGAAGCACAAGAAATTGTGCTGCCGTCGCGATATCTCGAGCGCTTGTCGATCGCCGTCCCGTGCTGTTGTGGACGGTGGGTATAAACGTTTAATCATATACGCCTCGGGAAAATGGCAGCTTCGGCGTTGGGCGCTCAGCTGACACCACGGGGCACGATGAGCGTAATTCGCTCACCATGCCATGGCGCCTCCCCTCCCCGTCCGCCAACTCTCGCGGCTGCAACATTCTCCGCCGCACCACACTGCGCGCTTACCGTAGGCCGCCCTTCGCTCCCGGGCTCTCTCTTCCTGCGCCCCCGACTCTCCGCGCCTCGCCAACCTTGCCTCTGCCCGTCCCGCCCCATCCGCGCACCTCCTCCCGCGGCTGCGCTCGACGGGCTGGGCGCGGTGTACGGGCAACTCGCGGACGCGCTGCTGCACGGGTGAGTGCCGCCCGCTGCCCGCTCTTGCGCCAGCCGTCCTCGTCGCATTAGCGCTTTATGCAGGTGGGGGGAGCTGATGAGTACGCCATCATTTTCCAGTGCTCGGCTGGTCGCATGTCGTTTGGTGCGCAGCACGTGGCGGTCGTAGCCTCACCGGCATTGCTGCCGCCCGCCACCAACCCACCCCCCCTCTGCGCCCACATCCCCGTGCGTCGCAGGGTGCCGCTGGGCATGGACGTGACTATAGCGAGCGTGCATCACGAGGTGGCGCAGCTCGCGGCGTCCGCCGGCATTCCTCTGGACGACCCCGTGAGTGCCCTCGCGCCCTCGCGCCCTCTCCTCCTTCCGTCCCTTTCATCCGCCATCCGCGCGTCGTTGCGCCTCTTGCTTGCGCGCTCACGTGCCGCGGTGGTGCGCGTGGCAGGTGGCGCTGCGCGAGTGGATCGCGTCCGTCGCGCTGCTGCTGGCGTACGCCTCCGCGCCCCCGTCCGGCCCCATGGGCCTCCTCGACTTCCTCGTCGCGCCCCTCCATACCGTCACCTTCAGGTACAGAGAAGCGAGCGCGCACAGAGAGGGGAGCACGCACAGAGAGGCGAGCGCGCACAATCCACGCTCCACTGCCCCCTCCCCTCACTCCCCAAACGCCCCTCCCCATGGCGCGTCTCCCCCTGGCCCCCCCGGGCGGCGGCAGGCGGTTCTCCCCGTCGGAGGTGAAGGTGGGGCGGCAGCTGGGCCACGGCAACTTCGGCGTGGTCTACGAGGCCACCGTCGCCGGCCCGCGCGGACAGCCGCAGCGCGTGGTGGTGAAGCGCAAGGCGGCGGGCGCGGGCGCGGACGAGATGCAAGACGTGGAACTGTTCATGAACCACCGGCTGCAGGTGCGGTGATGGGGGGTCCACACAGCAGCCATGCCTATATGTGGCAGAGAAGAAGTTGGAAAGGTGTTGGGTCCACTGCGTATAGATACTGCCTGCTGATGTGCTCATGTGAACGGTTACCTGGTTACTCAATCGCATCCGAGTGTCTGTTTTCGTGTACGTGCATGGGTGCTTGGCTGGATGGGTGCATGGGTGCATGGTTGGATGGGTGCATGCGTGCATGGGTGCATGCGTGCATGGGTGCATGCGTGCATGGGTGCACGTGGTGCATGGGGTCATGCGTGCGTGCAGCGCACGGTGCCAGGAGTGGCGGCCAAGTTCCTGGGGACGATGGAGGTGCAGCCAGGGAACAAGCTGCAGGAGGTCAGCCGTCACGTGCTCCCCACCGCATGCCCCCTGTTCGCACTCGCTCCCGCACCTCTCATGTCGCGTTATGCACGGGTGCGCGCTTCTCTGCATGCGCCAAGGCCGGCCTCTTCACTGCCTCTTGCCCCGCTGCCCTTCTCCCTGCTCTGCGTGCTGTGTGCTGTGTGCTGTGTGTTGTGCGGCGCGTGGCATGGGCGGGCGAGCAGGGGGTGTGGCTGGTGTGGCAGCACCAGGGCGACAGCACGTTGGACCGCCACCTCAAGGACAGCCAGTACCCCGCGCCGCTGGCCGCCATGGTGCTGGGCGTGCAGGGGGACGCGAGTGGGTGGTCGGAGGAGCAGCGCATGTGGGTGGAGTGGGAGGTGGCGCAGACCGTCATGCGCCAGATCCTCTCCAACCTCCGCGCCCTGCACCACGCAGGTCCGCCCCCCTCCCCTCCACTCCCTGCACCACGCAGGTTTGCTGCATGCCCCTTCCCTCCCCCTTCCCTTCCTTTCCATGTGCTCGTGCTGCTCCGTCCATCTCATCCATGCACACGCATGCACCCCATTGACCGTGTGTTATGTGCCATGTGCGCTGGGAACGGGGTGTGGGGTGGGGTGGGGCATATGCTTGCCCACAGGCGTGGTGCACAGGGACGTGAAGCCGGCCAACCTGGTGGTGGACGAGGCCGAGCGCCACCTCTGCCTCATCGACCTCGGCGCCTGCGTTGACCTGCGCTCCGGCCGCAACTATGTACGTCCCTGCCCCCCTGCGGCGCATCGTTGGTCACTGTGTGTGCGGCGTGGCTATACACGTCCCTGCGGTGTGTGTGCTCCCTGGTTATCCATCCCTCTCATGCACCACTGCCGCTCTCTTCACCCCTGCCATCCGCGTGCCGCCCGCCCCCCCTCCAGGTGCCCAGTGAGACGGTGATGGACCCAAAGTACGCCGCCCCCGAGCGCTTCGTCATGCCGCCTGCCACCACGCCGCAGCTGCCGCCCGACCCGCTGGCAAGCCTGCTGTCGCCCTTCCTCTGGGTGGCCAACTCCCCCGACAGATTTGATGTCTTCTCCGCTGTACGCAACCTCACCTTCTCTTCCCACTGCCACTATCATTAACTCCTAAACCCGAAACCCGTTGCAACGCCTAACTTGCTCCATTTCGTCCTTCCTTCCCCCCCATGCGAGCAGGGCGTGGTGCTCATGCAGCTCTCCCTCAAGTCGCTGCGCCATGAGGCCAACCTGGTCAGTGCACCCGCCCACCCCTCCCACCCGCCCATGCGTCCCGCCATGTCATGATGCCATGCTGCACCATACCCTGCCATGCCCTGTTTTCTGAAGCTCTGCGTGTCTGTGCTGTGCGCCTAACGCCTGCGTCCACTGTGCTGTTATGTGCCTCTGTGCGTGGGTGACATGCCGTGGCGTGCATGCGGGGATGGGATGGGCCACCAGGAGGGGTTCAACAACGAGTTGAAGCGGTGCGACTACGATCTGAGCAGGTGGAGGAAGAAGTTCCGCCCCTCCAACGCTGACATGGCCCTGCTTGATGCCCATGGTATGATCCATGCACGCCATGCTGCCGCTTCACCCCTGTGTGTGCACATCATGCCACAGCATGCCACATCATGCCACAGCATGGCACAGCATGGCACAGCATGGCACAGCATGGCACCGCATGGCACAGCATGGCACAGCATGGCACAGCATGGCACAGCATGCCACAGCATGGCACAGCATGGCACAGCATGGCACAGCATGGCACAGCATGGCACAGCATGGCACAGCATGCCACAGCATGGCACAGCATGGCACAGCATGGCACAGCATGGCACAGCATGGCACAGCATGCCACAGCATGGCACAGCATGCCACAGCATGGCACAGCATGGCACAGCATGGCACAGCATGGCACAGCATGGCACAGCATGGCACAGCATGGCACAGCATGGCACAGCATGGCACAGCATGGCACAGCATGGCACAGCATGGCACAGCATGGCACAGCATGGCACAGCATGGCACAGCATGGCACAGCATGGCACAGCATGGCACAGCATGCCACAGCATGCCACAGCATGCCACAGCATGCCACAGCATGGCACAGCATGCCACAGCATGGCACAGCATGCCACAGCATGGCACAGCATGGCACAGCATGGCACAGCATGGCACAGCATGGCACAGCATGGCACAGCATGGCACAGCATGGCACAGCATGGCACAGCATGGCACAGCATGGCACAGCATGCCACAGCATGCCACAGCATGCCACAGCATGCCACAGCATGGCACAGCATGCCACAGCATGGCACAGCATGCCACAGCATGGCACAGCATGCCACAGCATGCCACAGCATGCCACGCCACCGCGCTGAGGCGAATCTGCCCTGGGGTGCGTGCATGTGTTTCGATCACCGTCTCAACTGCCCATCCTCGCCTACTCTCCCCCTCCCTGGACCTCTCGCCTCGCGCCCTCCTGCTCTGTCATGTGCTTGTGCGTGTGTGTGGCGTGGCAGGCGGAGCGGCGTTTGACTTGGCAAAGCAGCTGCTGCAGAAGCGACCCAACCATGACCATGCCGTGTGGCCCAGCGGTGCGTTGCGCCTCAACCACACCGCCTCTGCCCTCATTGCCTCTTCTCTCACTGCCACTGCCCCGCACTGCCACTGCCCCGCACTGCCACTGCCCCGCACTGCCACTGCCCCGCACTGCCGCTGCCTGTGTTTGTGGCGAGAGTGGCACGGAGCAGTGAGTGCATGTTGAAGTGCCGTCAATGAACCTTTGCCAGTTGCCATCACACAACGAATGCCCTTTTACCAGAATGCCCTTGTACCAGACTAAACTACACTTTCACTGACACCTACAACGCATGTGTCACTCGCCCCCTAACTTCCCTCTCTCCCTCCCCTGCTTCCCCCCTCCCCCCTCCCCTCTCTCCAGTGTTTGGCATGGGGCGCCCATCAGCAGGCCGCGCCCTGCGCCACCGCTTCTTCTCTCTGCACCCCCCTCAACCCTTCCGCCTCCCCCGCTCCCCCCCCTCCGCCACGCCCGCGTCCGGCCCCGCCGCTGCTACCCCTGCTGCTGCTGCGCCCGCCACTGCCCCCTCTGCCGCTGCCAGGCGCAGCATGGCGCCCCCCCCTGCTGCCCCCGCTGCTGTTCTTGCTGCTGCTGGGCGCGCGGGCAAGGGCGAGAGGGCGGAGAGGGCGGAGCATGGGGAGAAGGGGGAGAAGGTGCAGGTTGGGGAGGATGCGCGGGGGAGACACAAGGACGTGGGGCGGAAGAAAGGCGTGGGTGCTGTGGAGGTGGCGACAGGAGGTGGCAAGGCAGGCGAGAGGAGTGATGGCGTGAGAGGGCGAGGGGAGGCAGCCCGGGCAAGAGCGGATGTGCGAGGAGGGAAGGAGGCAGCGGCACTGCGAGGAGGTGCGAAGGAGGGCAGTGAGGTAGGGAAGGGATTGCTGGTGCATGCGCTCAAGGCTGTGGTGCCGCCTCCCACCGCCCTCCACCCCCAGCCCTCCCTGCACGCCCCCACTGGTGGTGCGGGCAAGGCAAGGCGGGCGGCAGCGGGTGACAAGGCGGGGCAGGTGGCAGGCAGAGGGGACGCGGAGGGCGCAGAGGGGGAGAGCGGCAGGGGCAGGGGAGCGGGCGTGAGGGCGAGGGGGGATCGCGGGAGGGCGAGGGGCGGGGCAGTGGATGTGGCGGGGGCGGTGAAGCGCGGGCACGTGGCGACGGCGTATGTGCTGGGGTCGCTGGTGGCGGGGCTCGCCCGGTCGCTGGATGATGACAAGAGCCGCGGCGGTGAGGAGGGGGGGGACGCACGCTTGACGCATGGTGTGGCGGGCAGCGAAGCAGAGGCTGATGAGGGTAAGGAGGCGAGGGGAGGCGGTGGGCAGGAGGAGAGAGATGGGGGCAAAGGGGAGGTAGGGGGCAGGAAGGACGGGATGGAGAGGGAAGGTGGGCGTGTGGTGCGCGGTGGTGCAGAGAGGTCAGGGGCGCGGGTGGAGATGGGCAAGGGAAAGGCAGTTGAGGCGGGGGGCAGAGGACGGGATGGGGGGAGTGAGGGGGGCGTGGGAGTGAGTGTGGCGGTGGGCATGGCGGAGGTGGGCGTGGCAGCAGCGGGTGCCACAGCCACGGCAGTGATGGCAATAGCGTCCTCTGTGTGGCGCGATATGGCCGCCCCCTCGCCCGCCCCTCCCACCCCCAATGCCCGCAGCAGCCCTGTGACAGCAGTGGTGAAGGCTAGTGAGGTGGGCAGTGGGAGGAGGGGGAAGGAGGGGAAGGAGCAGGAGAGGGTGTTGCAAGAGGCAGTGGAGGCGGCAGCGGAGGAGCGGGAACGGATTCTGAAGGCGGTTGGGGGGAGTGAGGGCAGCAGGCAGCATGAGGGGTCGCCTGTGGAGTTGCATGCAGTGGTAGGAGGTGGCGAGGGAGGGGCGTATGTGGGGGGGGTGGGAGTGGTGGCTCGGGAGGGGCGTATGAGGCGGCAGGTGGAGCGGCAGGTGATAGCAGAGGAGCTTCTAACGTCAGTAAGCGAGCTGGGGGTGCAGCTGGGGTCACTGGAGGAGTCGCTGCAGGCAGGCCGGCACGTGGCAGCAAAGCAGCAGCACCTGCTCACCCGGGTGAGTGCTGTGAGAGCCACTCTTGCCAAGCCCAGAAACTGATTGCCAACCTGTCAGGGATGCTGTACAACTTGTGGCTTATCACAGCTTCTCTCGCCCTGTTTGTCTTTCCCTTCTGACAACTTGTTTCAAGTGCAGATGGAGAAACTTCTTGTGACTCCATCAACCCATAAGCAAGCGGCCTCTCCCACTGTGAACACCACTGGTGTGCCTTCGAGCCATAACGGCATGCCATCGATACAAGATGCGGGCCAATATGACAGGACTGAAAAATAGGGCAGACCGGATATTTGCCTGCACGAGCTGCCTCTTAGTAGTAGAAACAAGTGCTACTGAATCATAGGATTTGAAACTTGACCGCCTCCTGAACTGGTTTTGGAGCAAGTGGAGAAACTACGGTACGATTACACCGACCAGCAAACAAAACTGCATGTTTGTGTTGGAGATACAAACATAAAAATACTATAAATGCTGAATTATTGGAGTCTAGTGAAAGGGGGGTAGAATTAATGCCACTCCTTTGTTGGAGTTGGCATTATTGGTAGTTCCACTCCACTTCACCCCGTGAGCCATGGTTGTGGCTTCAAGGGTTTCATATCTCTGTTTAAAATGATATTTAGACCGTCCCGAACCATCCTGAACGGTCCTGGACGGCTCCAAACCGTTGGCCCCGGTATCCACCCTCTCTCTGCACTCCCACACACTCCTCGTTTCCGTGCCTTCCAGAATCTAAAGTGTTGGAACAGCCAGGGGCCTCCCATGGGCTCAACCAACCCCCCTATTTGCCCAACTCATCTCCCTCCCTGCGGGCATCAGCAGCAGCAGGAACAGTAATAGTGGTGGCTAGTCAGGGACCTCCGTGGCAAATGTTGTAGCTTATAGTGCTTCTGACTCTGTTTACTCGCGTGTTTTTAGCTTAGGTGCTAGTGTTGCTGAGGTGCCTGTTGCTAGTGTAGGTACTTGTGTAGACACTAGTCCAGGAGCTGCTCCGGAGGACGCTTCGCTGTCTTTCACTCTTGACTCAGGGGCTTCGCACTGCTTCTTCCGTGACCACACGACGCTTATTCCGCATCCTGCGCCAGTCTCTGTAGCACTGGCTGATCCCACTTCGGGACCAGTCACTGCTCGCTACACTACTACGCTTCCGTGCCCAGCTGTTCCGTCGGGTTTTCTGACGGGCTTTCACGTCCCCTCATTCTCCAGGAACTAGGTGGGCGTGAGACCACTAGTTAGTAGTCACATGGGTGTTTGGATTGAGCCTTCTGGGGAGACTGCGGTGTGTGTTGACGGTGATACGTACGCGCCTTTGGCGACCTTTACCGCGGAGCCAGGCTCTGGTCTCTACACACTGCACAGTGGCCTTCGACTCCTGTCACAGACTACTACCACACGTACCGTCCTGTTCTCTCTCGTGTTCTCGCCTCTCTTGTTACCGACCCTCGTGCTTCTCTGTCCTATGTCTCCGCACTTACTGCCGCAGTCACTGAGTTTGCCTCTAGACGCCGCCTTGACTACGCCATCAGTCTTGTGGCTGCTCCTCCTACCACTCTTCTGGCCGCCGGGGGTGAGTCTGCCCTAGAGGACAGGCAGTGTGAGCTGGAGTTCTTGGCAGCTGCTTCCCCTCATCTATGTGCCATGCTGCTCGTCCCTGAAGGAGACCCCCACGCCATTGACATACCGATTCCTCACACTTATGCTGAGGCAGTGTCAGGGCCTTGGGCCTCTCAGTGGAGAGCTGCCATGGACGCAGAGATGGCCTCCTACAGATCCACAGGCACCTACGTCGACGAGGTCCCCCCCCCCCGGAGCGAACTAGTCGATGGCATGTGGATCTTCAGGGTGAAGCGGCCACCGGGATCTCCTCCGGTCTTCAAGGCGCGCTACGTGGCTAGAGGGTTCAGTCAGCGCGAGGGAGTCGACTTCTTTCAGACCTTCGCGCCTACCCCGAAGATGACTACTCTTCGGGTGTTACTGCACGTAGCAGCACAGAGAGACTACGAGTTACACTCTCTCGACTTCTCCACTGCCTTCTTGCAGGGCAGCCTACACGAGGAGGTCTGGTTACGTCGTCCCTCTGCCTTCACTGGCACTTTCCCTCCTGGGACCCAGTGGAGGCTGAGGCGACTGGTCTACGGTCTCCGTCAGGCTCCTCGTGAGTGGCACGACACCCTTCGTTCTACCCTGTCTGACCTCGGTTTCCAGCCGTCTTCTGCCGACCCGTCGCTGTTCGTCCGTCGTGGCTCCACACCGTTCTTTGTGTGCCCCGATGAGGCGCACGGGCCAATAACCTCTCCAAAAGTGCACCCCAATGAGCCCCACGGGAGAATAACCTCTCCAAAGGTGCGCCCCGATGAGGCGCACGAGCGAATACCCTCTCCAAAGGTGCGCCCCAATGAGGCGCACATGCGAATAACCTCTCCAAAGATGCGCCCCGATGAGCCACATGGGCGAATAACCTCTCCAAATGTGCGCCATGATGAGGCGCATGAGCGAATAACCTCTCCAAAGGTGCGCCCCGATAATGCGCATTGGCGAATAACCTCTCCAAATGTGCGCCCCAGTGAGGCGCACGGGCGAATAACCTCTCCAAATGTGTGCCCTAGTGAGGCGCACGGGCAAATATCCTCTCCAAATGTGCGCCCCAATGAGGCGCACGTGTGAATAACCTCTCGAAAGGTGCGCCTCAATGAGCCCCACGGGCGAATAACCTCTCCAAATGTGCGCCCCGATGAGGCGCACGAGCGAATAACCTCTCAAAAGGTGCGCCCCGATGAGGCCCACGTGCGAACAACCCCTCCAAAGGTGCGCCCCAATGAGGCGCACGTGCGAATAACCTCTCCAAAGATGCGCCCCAATGAGGTACTCGGGCGAATAACCTCTCCAAATGTGCGCCCAATGAGGCGCACGGGCGAATAACCTCCCCAAAAGTGCGCCCCCGTGAGGCGCACGGGCGAATAACCTCTCCAAAGGTGCACCCCGATGAGGCGGATGTGCGAATAACCTCTCCAAAGATACGCCCTAATGAGGCCCACGTGCGAATAACCTCTCCAATGGTGCGCCCCAGTGAGGCGCACGTGCGAATAACCTCTCCAAAGGTGCTCCCCAGTGAGGCCCACGGGCGAATAACCTCTCCAAAGGTGCGCCCCGATGAGGCGCACGGGTGAATAACCTCTCCAAAGGAGCGCCCCGATGAGCTCCACGCGCGAATAACCTCTCCAAAAGAGCGCTCCGACGAGCCCCACGAGCGAATAACCTCTCCAAAGGTGCGCCCCGATGAGCCCCACGGGCGAATAACCTTTCCAAAGGTGCGCCCTGATGAGGCGCACGGGCGAATAACCTCTCCAAATGTGCGCCCCGATGAGGCGCACGTGCGAATAACCTCTCCAAAGGTGCGCACCAATGAGGCGCACGTGCGATAACCTCTCTAAAGGTGCGCCCTGCCCACGGGCAAATAACCTCTCCAAATGTGCGCCCCGATGAGGCGCACGAGCGAATAACCTCTCCAAAGGTGCGCCCCGATGAGGCCCACGTGCGATTAACCTCTCCAAAGCTGCGCCCCAATGAGGCGCATGTGCGAATAACCTCTCCAAAGATGCGCCCCAATGAGGCGCACGGGCGAATAACCTCTCCAAATGTGCGCCCGAGTGAGGCGCACGGGCAAATAACCTCTCCAAATGAGCGACCCAGTGAGGCGCACGGGCGAATAACCTCTCCAAATGCGCGCCCCAATGAGGCGCACGGGCAAAGGTGCGCCCCCGTGAGGTGCACGGGCGAATAACCTCTCCAAAGGTGCGCTTGCGCTAGGCGCACGGGCGAACAACCTCTCCAAAGGTTCACCCGGATGAGGCGCACGTGTGAATGACCTCTCCAAAGGTGTGCCCCGGTGAGGCCCACGGGTGAATAACCTCTCCAAAAGTGCGCCCCAATGACGCGCACGGGCGAATAACCTCTCAAACGGTGCGCCCCAGTGAGGCGCACGTGCGAATAACCTCTCCAAAGGTGCGCCCCAGTGAGGCCCACGGGCGAATAACCTCTCCAAAGGTGCGCCCCAGTGAGACGCACGGGCGAAAAACCTCTCCAAAGGTGCGCCCCGATGAGGCGCACGGGCGAATATCCTCTCCAAAGGAGCGCCCCGATGAGCCCCAGGCGCGAATAATCACTCCAAAGGTGCACCCCAATGAGCCCCATGAGCGAATAACGTCTCCAAAGGTGCGCCCCGATGAGCCCCACGGGCGAAAAACCTCTCCAAAGGTGCGCCTCAGTGAGGCGCACAGGCGAATAACCTCTCCAAAGATGCGCCCCAATGAGGCCCACGTGCGAATAACCTCTCCAAAGGTGCGCCCCGATGAGGTGCACGGGCGAATAACCTCTCCAAAGGTGCGCCCCGATGAGGCGCACGAGCGAATAACCGCTCCACAGGTGCGCCCTACTGAGGCGCACGGGCAAATAACATCTCAAAAGGTGCACCCCAATGAGGTGCACCCCAATGAGGTGCACGGGCGAATAACCTCTCCAAAGGTGCGCCTCAGTGAGGCGGACGGGCGAATAATTTCTCCAAAGGTGCGCCCCAGTGAGGCGCACGGGCGTATATCCTCTCCAAAGGTGCGCCCCAATGAGCCCCACGGGCGAATAACCTCTCCAAAGGTGCGCCCCGATGAGCCCCACGTGCGAATAACCTCTCCAAAGGTGCACCCCGATGAACCCCACGTGCGAATAACCTCTCCAAATGTGCGCCCCGATGAGGCGCACAAGCGAATAACCTCTCCAAATGTGCGCCCCGATGAGGCGCACGTGCGAATAACCTCTCCAAAGGTGCACCCCAATGAGCTCCACGGGCGAATAACCTCTCCAAAGATGCGCCTCGATGAGGCGCACGAGCGGATAACCTCTCCAAAGGTGCGCCCCGATGAGGCGCACGAGCGAATAACCTCTTCAAAGGTGCGCCCCGATGAGGCGCACGTGCGAATAACCTCTCCAAATGTGTGCCCCAATGAGGCGCACGTGTGAATAACCTCTCCAAAGGTGCGCCCCGATGAGCCCCACGGGCGAATAACCTCTCCAAATGTGCACCCCAATGAGGCGCTCGTGCGAATAACCGCTCCAAGGCTCGCCCTAATGCGGCGCACGGGCGAATAACCTCTTCAAATGTGCGCCCCAATGAGGCGCACGGGCGAATAACCTGTCCAAAGATGCGCTCCCTTGAGGCGCATGGGCGAATTACCTCTCCAAAGGTGCACCCCGATGAGGCGCACGTGCAAATAATATCTCCAAATGTG